ATAAAGCATAAGTTTATCCAACGGCCTGTATCACCAACACGTATGAGATAAAATGGAATAACCACTGCATATGATGACTTTACAGCGTAATGTAACAAAATGACCACTTCATTACATTATTTACCACTACATATTTATATTTATATTATTTAGCCACTGAATATAATGATAAAACCACAGTTACTGCATATAATAAAGACATCACTGAATTAATGATTTTATCACTTTGACGAATATACAGGTAATGATAAAGCCACGGTACACAATAAAGTTATCACTGAATATAATGACTTCACCACTTCACATAAAAGTCATACCTTAGCAAGATAAGATTTATTATGGTCTCTTTCTTGTGGTAGGGGCATTTAAAGAAAAATCTCAAAACTGTGAAGATTTGAATTTACTCCATTTGATGGAATTTTGGTCCAATACCTTTAACTCACAGTAATTTGCATGGTATTAAATGCTAATAATATTGAATTTCAATGTAGGTTCAAATGACATGTCAAAACCATATTAAACATTTTTCCCCTTATACTTTGCTTTTAATTCCAAATACAGCAAAACTCGGTTATAACGAAGTCAATGGGACCTATAAAATTACTTCGCTATAACCGTAATTCATTATAATTATCCGTATAAGAAATTTGTTAAATTTATACATTAACTAGGGATCCAAGATAACTTCGCTATATCCGTGAATTCACAATATCCATGTTCGTACTAAGCGAGTTTTATACTGTATATGGAACGAATCAACATTAAGCTTTGTACCTTGAAATCTGTATGCATGTGTATTTTTGACCTATACCTGACGATTTACATCACTGACCCAAGCTTTTTGTTCACTGTTTGTTCACTGTTACAAACATTTCTTTCTAACGAGAAATTCATAGAAAGAATTCTGTGAGCAAGTATTTTATTGAGGGTTTAAATGAAAAGTAATATCCAAATTATTTTCTTTGATAAGTACTTTACCCGCATGATAGGGAAATTATTGTACATGGAACATGATATTTATTGCCTTCATTACATTCAATAAAATATGTGTAAGTTTAAATTGTTATTTGTAAAAAATTATAAATCAAATGCAAAAAATAAAATAAAAATAAAGTAAAATAAATTATTCTGAACTGTTTCTATGAAATGCTCAGAAAAGTTAAAATTATGAATCATAGTTGCGTGTATAAACAAAGATCGCAAAAGCAATACGCAATTTTCGAGATTGTCTCCCTTGGTGCGCTCTTTCGTTGAGGAGGGGAGTTTCGTTGCAGCGTACTTCATTAGCCTAGTACCCGAGGCCTTCCGAGTGCAAGCACGTAGCCTAGCCTAGTACCCGAGGCCTTCCGAGTGCAAACACGAAGTACCCGAGGCCTTCCGAGTGCAAGCACGAAGGGCCTTCGTGCTTGCACTCGGAAGGCCTCGGGTACTAGGCTACGTACTTCATGTACATTTACATCGCAATTTTGCTGCAATGCCACGTAATTTTATTTACTTTGATTCTTTATCTACTTTGGCGTATGAAAAAGTACCAAGAAAATGTTTAACCATCACTTAAAAGTGAACCAAACATGAAAGGCCCAGTTTAACATTTCAAAAAAAAATATCCTATCATACTCAATATACTGATTTTACCCTGACGTGTTTTAAAAAATGCTTTAAAATTTATAAATACTAAAATCATGTACTGGATATATGCCTTTTAGTTTAAATCAAATCAACATCTATTTGAGTTTCGATAAATACTGTGTGTTCGGCGTCGGAAATACATATAAATAAAATCAGTATCAAACCTATTCTTTGACTATAAATGTGTAAACCGGAATTAAATTAACACATCTTTCTGCGTCATGCGGATATAATAATACATGTAGCAGTTTACAAATGAGGTGCCTAACGTTTTATAACTTTGTATAATATAAGGATCAAGAGTGTTTAGAAAATACATCGTTTTATGTTGCTTAAACTTTTTCTTTTAAACTGCTACAGTTTAAGGGAAAATTAAAGAAGTGAACTGCAACACCCTCTTTTACTCACAGCATTTTTCATAGAGTTATGTGCTAGAAATATTTAATATAGGTTTCGAAAAAATTATGTTTCTATACCATTTAAACAATTTTTACACTATATTTTGTCAACATTAACAATCTTATTTTACAAGAAAAGGATAAAATTTATTGCCTTTATTACATTTCATTAATATTCTTGCGTTTGAAGTGATTTATGTCAAAGGTTTAAATTAAATTCAAGAAAAATATTAAATAAATTAAATAATAAAATCAATTCTATTTTACTGCTGCCATGAGAAATGCGCACAAAACTTCAAATCGCAGAAACAGTCGGTGTACATTTCAAGGAGAGTTTGCGGTCTTTTTACTTAAGGTATATCACTCGTGAAATTTGTTAAATCAAGGATTTTTTGAGAAGTATATTTTGGATAAGTACTCAATATATAGTGTGACTCAAAATTGCAGAGAAAAAAGGGGGTCAGTGTGCATCTTACTGATCTACGGCACAATTAAGTTGACCTTTTTGCACCTAAACTTTAACTCTTTGGTAAATTACTTTAACCTTTATCATATTTTATCAGATGTAACCATGGCAATAAATATAATTTTATTTTACTTAAAATAGTTTGAATAATATTTATTATTGAACAAATCTTGCAAAGTAATGCAAGTAAATTATTGTGTGACCTTTTTGCACTAAAAAGTAACATATTTGGAGTATTAAAAAACTAAATAGTCAATAAAGCATTTTCCTAAATCAAGCTCAAGCTTTTTACGACTTAAGTACTGATCAGTCACAAGTATCGAGCCTTTTAAAATAATGAGAGAAAAATTGGTGTCAGTAATGTTAATTTAAAAATATTGGTCAAAATACGTGTTTTTCAGGCGAAAAATAGTATAAATTTTATCTAGACTTATTTGACATATCTTCAATTTTTATTAGCAAAGTTTGTTTAAGAAAGGTGTAAAACTGGTTCTAATATAAATTAAGACCTATATTATATATTCATAACAATATCCTAACAGAAATATTCTCCGTGTAAAAGTATGTAAGGCTAAAGTTCCAAGATATTAAATATATTGAAATGCTTAATGTGCAGATTTGCAGAATTATCTGCTAAATATCCTTCCACCACATGAAATAGTCTCTCATAAATCTTGCTTCTTTGTAGCTTTTTGAGCAGTTTTTTCGTTGAATGTTAAAACATTAACATCGTTGAATTTATTTATGTTATAAAAATTGAATTTTAATAAATAGTTTTGAAGCAAGAGGATCTGCGTGAACTTTTCTAAAAAGCTGACGAGTGACATACTTTAAATTCTACTATGGCGTATGAAAAAGGTACAGATATTTAAATTAGGTTGCTAAACCAACACTTAATGATGTGAACAAAACATGAAAGGTCCAGTTTATTTTAATATACTGATTATATATACAGTGTACTACCTACTGTGTTTTGAAGAACTTGCCTTAAACATTTATAATATATCGATAACATATATAATATATACATAGCTATAAATCACACTGGATATGCTTTTCAAAGTAAACGTCGATTTCAATATACATTACATCCAGTATGTGGTCGGAAACATACAAAATCATCATCAAACATTTTCTTTTACTATAAATGTATTAGCCGGAAATCAACATATCGTCTGCGTCATGCGGATATAATTATAGCAGTTTGCATCTGTGCTGCCTAAAGTTTGATAAATTTATATAAAATAAGGATTGTTATTCCCCAAATTCGTGATTGAATTCGACCGAACCCCACGATTGAACAATTTACATTGAAAAACTACTTTCAATAAAATTAACACGTTTCTTTTTAATAGTAGAATTATATTTTTCAAAACCGTCGCTCATGAAAGAACTTGGTAGACAAGATAAATTCTATAGTGGTCAGTGTAACACTAAACAATTCTAAAATGTTTTAGAGTTTTGAAATTTGATACATTACAATGTACATGTACTTCCAATTTCTAAACTTCAAAAACTCAAACTAAAAAATAAATATATTTATTTTGATATTTAAAATAAACTTCATACTTCTAAATTTCAAATTTTAAAAGATTTTAGATTTTTGGAACTTTAATTCAAACACTAAAGTTTTAAATAAGTAAGTAAAAAAAATATATACATATTTGTTTTTTTTTTAAACTTAACTTCAAATATCCATATTATCAATTCCAAACTTGGTTTCATTATGAATTTTGAAACTAGATCAAAATCTCTTTTGGTAAGTCAAAGAACTTTTAAATAATAAGAATATCGAACTAATATTCAAAGTTTAAATTAGAAATTTGATATTTTGGATATTTGAAGTAAAATTCTAAAAACACAAAGTGTTTTGGTTTTTGAAATTTGAATGTTTGAATCAAAATTTTGTGTTAAGAAATTTTAAAATTTAGATTTTTGATATTATAGATAAGTGTTACACGGACCATCTCTCTTCATAATGTTGAATTTGTAAGTAAAGTATAGATATATAAATATATATATATAAAGTTAATGGGTTTGTGTATCAGTGAGTAAGAAGGAAATATATTGTTAATCTTTTCTTTTTACCTTGTAAGAAACATTTTTAGTTTAGTTACAGGTTTTTGATTCAAGTTTAAGAGGAATAGGCTTTTTCTTTTTTGAATAAGTACAAAACTATAGCTATTCACTTTTTACAACATGCATTGCATTTATTCTTAAAATCATGTATATTATATACTTGCGATATCATGTACTGTACTAGAAATGTTAATTTTGGAATTTTGAAAAAAAATGTTTCAGCACTGACCATGCAATCTTTCTTCCGAAAGCGTTCATAAAATATAAGTTGATAAGTACAGCGCAGTATACCTTTAGATTCCTATATATTCCTTTTTCTTAATTTTTTTTTTACTAAAATTATTATGATTATTAAGAATAAGAAATTATTCCTTCAAATTACTGTTATCCTATTATTATAGCAATAACAGAGAATCTTAGGAAATTACGATCCTTCTACACAACAGGTCTCTGCTGAATGCTCGGCTACAAACAAGAGGGCATGGGTACCATTATAACCAAACGCTGATGGAGATGGAGTGGACATGTTCTAAGAGAAAGACTTCCCAGTCAACAACGAGAACAGCAATGCACCAGGCTTGGGGCGAATTACATTGTAAAGTAATGCATTACATTACCATTATTTCAGTAATTTGGGTAGAGATACAGAAATTTTATTTAAATAGGTTAAATTTTTAAATTTTATCACTTGCAAAAAATAATAATAAAAAAAAACGACAAAAAAATAACCTATTCACAATAATTTCCCTGTCATTTTAATTTCTTACAATAGGTACATACAAAATATGCTTTGTAATGCTATGTAATGCCAGCATTACACTGTATTTATGAAGTAATGCATTACATTACCATTACATGTAATGCAAAATTTTGGGCATTACACATTACTACATTGTAGCATTACTTTGAGTTCATGTTATGCATTGCGATGCATTACCATTACAATTAGCATTACCCCAAGCCTGCACTGCACTGGACAATAGAGGTCAAAATAAGCCAATAACATCATGATGAGCGACGGTTCAAAGCAAGATTAAAGCCATGCACCAGACCTGGGGATCATTGACGAGATTGGCCAAGGATAGACAAGAGTGGAGGAAGTGCGTTGCTGCCCTACATACCACGGGGTGTAAAGGGCAATGGCGATGACCAATTACATTTTTTTTTTCAAAAGTATCATTTTGAGAGTACCTCCATGCATTTTGCAGTGTCTAAAATTATTTTTTATATCCATTTAACATTGTACATGTTATATGAAAGTGACTATTTTTCATACATTTTTAAAAGTGCCATTTTTATAAGCTGTCACTATATATTGTTTGGTTTCTTTTCCTTTAAATCGATCTGACGAAAGAAATCGATGTGCAAATTCATAAAACAATAAATTATTGTGATCATTTTATGACATAGGTGAATCACCACGCGTCATATTTAGTGAACTGGACATCCTTGAATGTAATTGATGAATAATCAATATACCATTGTACTTTAAACATGTTTTAATAGTCGTTGATCAGGACACACTTGTGTTATTATAAGATTATCAATGGAGAGTATTCTGCATGTGTATCGTGTTATATGTATTAGATTACTAAATATAAATTACAATTCAGTTTACTATCAAGAAATGGGTTCTGTATGGCACGCCGATTGGTTCAAAATTATTTTCTGCATGACCTTAAACAAAAATTTACACGAGTAAGTAAAAACTTACACAAAGTGAGGAAAGTATACACAAAGCTATTGAAATTTACACAAACTACAGAAAAACTACACAATCAACAAAATATTTACACGATATAGTGAGAAAATTACACAAACATAAAAACGAAAACTGCACGAGTGAGAATTAATACAACATCGACATAATATACGACGCATCCTCATTGCGCACATTTCATTAATATTCATTAGAGAACAGCTCAGGGTGGCTTGGATGCTTGAAACATAAACCTATAAATTTATCCTAAAGGATGAGTAACGTGTTAGTAATATTTATTTAATCTTTTTAAAAAGGATTCAGTCTTTTAGAATTCCGCTAGACTCTCATGTATAAATTTACACACAATCTTAAGTATGGAATATGAACACCCCCGATTAAAAACATTCTACACATGTATAAATAACGTAAAAGGGATGCATATTACCAGATGTGTGTTTAATTGTTAGATTTTTAAATTGTGTCATTCCTTTATCATTGTCTATATAGCAATTTCTTTTGAAAGTGTAAAACATTGATATAGTAAAGGTCTTCATAAAATTAATAAAAACAGCATGTGATATAATACAGGGCAGTTAACAATAAATCAAACTCTTCTCCTCCACCACCCACTGTGTGTACGTCGGTAATAATTAAGGATGTGGATGCGTGACCTTTTCATATAGAGAGAACCCTCCCTGCTGGTGAAGGAATGAAAGACACCTGTACGCTAATCGATTTATAGTTATAATACCTTTTGATTAAGGATTACTAGCAATTCATACAGAGTTGCGATCATCTGGGTTGTGGAATTTGACAGAAAACTTTTTGGAAATAAACAGTAAAAAATAAAAATAAGGCAAATAATTGCGCAACTTTAAGTTTTATATTGAAACGATCAAATATAATTATTAATTTTTTTTTTATATAATTATGTATGTGACAAAGTACAACATGTAGTCTTTAATTTTGAACAATGTGTAGTGATTTCATAAATATCCATGTAAATGTAGAAAATTGTATGTAAATTGTAGTCGTTTTAGTTATGTGAATTTAAGCTTAATATATGTTTTTTATCGAGTTTGCTTTGAATAGGTAAAATGCATATAAAGGAGTTAAAACAATTTAAAATTATGATATACAGACACATATAATATCGGTATAGCATCACTTTTAATAGTGGGGAGGGGGTTAGAATTTTTTTTGACAAATAACCTGAAAAGTCTGATTGCATGACAAGCGAAAAAAAGGCGGAAGGGGGGGGGGGGGAGGGTCCAAACTAGAAAATCCTATTTCGTTGAGGTAGTGAGGCACCTTCGATATTCCACCTTCTTTTCGAAACACATAAGCATATATTACTTAGATTTAAACTACCAAACAAAAAAGGGGATGGAGGCTTTTCTACGGAAGCCCATTAGTGCCAACCTGTATATATAAAGGAAAAGCGATATATATATATAAAAGAAATGCGATCTATATAAAGAAAACCTCGATATATATAAAGGAAATGCGATATATATAAACAAAACCTCGATATATATAAAGAAAATGCGATATATATAAACAAAACTTCGATATATATAAAGAGAAAAATTTCCACTGCCTGACCTTTAATATGTTTAATGACCTACATTACAACAGAGACTTTGCCAACATATGATAAGCAGCTCCCGGTCCAATGTTTTGATTGCAATCAGTTGATGTGGCTCTTTCAGGATGGTATTTAGCGTGTTGTGTTTTCTTCCTTTTTGTATCTTGATAATTACGCGTATGACTATTAAATCTAAAGCTAAAACACTCTGTTCTTCTTACATATCAGACGTGTTGGGCAGAATTACACCAATGAGTGACTTTTCGGCTTAAAATGTATATTACATAGCACTAAATTTGCCGGTCTTTATCAATCGAAATATAATTCGGTGCAAAAATACAAGTGTGTTTTATCATGTTTTATAAGTTTTTTAACGTTTTACTATGTTTTTACATGATGTAGATTTTAAAAATCGATTTAATTTACAATGTGGGACAAAAATCCGCAGTTTAATTATGTAAGTGTGCATTCGCTATAATTCGTTTCTTTTTATTTATTAACAAATACTTCACACCAAAAGACCCTTAAATTATTACATATACGGTAAAAGTACTTATTTCCTATCTAGCTTGTAACACGAGCTTTGATTGGTTACAAAGTCGGGTGTAAATATCCGTGCACCCGACTTGAGCCGGGTGTAAATAAAATGTGACAGGCCTCAGGGTGTATGGAATAAAACCCGGGGTAAATCCCCGTACCCCCTTGATCGAAACTGGATAACTAATAATGTCGCTTTCTTCCTTGTATTCAAATGAAGTGGGTACCTTCATCTCTCCCCTCTTTCCCATTCCGTTTTTTTTCTTTACAATCAATGGGCATACTAGTAAATTATTTTTATAATGAATTGAAATAAATTTGAATTAGGGCATTAAAAAAGTACTTGTTAAGACTTCACATTTAACGTTATATTTTCATAAATTCTCGGTTGTGAAACCAAAGTTAGTTAGTTTGGTAAAACAAAACAAAAAAAAAAAGACAAAAAAAAAAGACAAAAAAAAAAGGTAGGTTGTAAAAAAAACGAAGTTGATCAAAATACGTACATGTAAAGCCAATAAAACACAGAAAATACGATACATATGTTACATTAAAAGTTTAAGTCTAAAGTTTAAACTTATCTGTAACTATCTAGATAAATTTAAACTTTAGATTTAAACTTATAATGTGACACATATACTTAATTATGAAGGCATTTAATTAAATGCTCCTCTTCTCAATTAAGTGCATTATTTTAAGTAATGTTACAATTACAGTTCATAGATATGTGCATGTACAAACAAATAAACACTATGAAATAGCAACATTTTTCCGATTCTGGGAAAGTTCTGAGTACTGTATAACTGATTTCCCCCTGCCAGGAGTTAATCTGTATATAATCTTGATGGACAGCTGAGCGCTACAGGTCACGCAGTGGAAAATTTTCTCTTTATATATATATCGCATTTCTCTTTATATATATTGAGGTTTTGTTTATATATATCGCTTTTCTCTTTATATATATCGAGGTTTTGTTTATATATATCACATTTCCTTTATATACGTATATCCACGTTTCGTTTATATATATCGCATTTCCTTTATATATATCCAGGTTTTGTTTATATATATTGTATTTCCTTTATATATCGAGGTTTGCTTTTATATATTGCATTTCCTTTATATATAGAGGTTGGCACTAATGGGCTTCCGTACTTTTCAGTGTATATTTACGATAGAAAAAGGTTATGTTTGCCAAATAAAAGAAAACGAAAAGGGGGAGGGATATGCCCCTCCTGATGCTACTGGCTGAAATAATTTTCTATGAATTTAAGCGTACATGAAGTAGTCAATCTAAATCAGGATTTCAATTCAACCTAAAACTATAACGATAAATATTTTTATTAGCCGTCCATATCCTGGAATTTGCGCTCGACCTAACAACATTTAAAAATTGAAGGTTAGGGGGTCAACCAGGATATAAGGAATATTTACTGTTGAAAAGTCTATAATACTCAGAAAAAAGTAGGAAGGAGGGGGGACTTCTACAGGCCCGTTTGCCGATTAATTTCATTTTATGATTATACAGTCATTTTCTTGTTATAATGGCCATAGATTTGGGTTGAAAAGTGTTATTACAAAAAACTTAAATTTAGTGTTTGGGAAATAATAAATCATTAAAATTTTATGAATACGAATTCTAAATGTAAAGAGAATTTGTTTTCTTTGAAAATATTTGCAAAAATTGTGCTCTATTTGGAACATGATTTATTTGCATTTTTCAAGAATGATAAAACAAGTTTTATATTCTTTTCAATTATTATCAAACTGCAGTATCCATTCCCATTTTATTTATGACATTGTATGTAGATGTATTTAGTAATTCACAATGTTTTAAAAGTCTTGGTGTGTCATTATGGTCCAACGATTTGAAACTTAAATAAATTTATAATGGGACTCCAATCGATCCACGAGCCAGGTCCGCCACTGATCATGTGTTTTTCCATAGCCAGGATTATTTGAGTAGAGTTTTGTTATTTCATTTGGACAAATTTAATTAACAAAAAACAAAAGCGCATGTACATAGAGTATATAAGTATATTCTCCGTTTATCTGGTCCTTTTTATTAAAAATGAAAACATTTATCAAGTAATCGCCATTGCGAATGAGGGCAACGCTTACAAGAAATATCTTGTTTTTATAAGTTATAAGTTTATAACTGAAAATATGAAATATCATGGAAAAATTCATAACAAAAAGTAGGCTACAGATATCCAACCAAAATTGATATCGGATATTTTATAAGTTTGGATACATATGTTAATAGAAATAAAATATTTTTATCTTTGACATTAAAAATACGTTGTGTACATCTAAGGTAATCCTCACTTTTTAAATTTAAAAATGTACACATTTGTATATATCCAGCCAACTGAATATTTAATTTCCTATTCCGAAATGGGGAAAAAATCTCCTCAAATGACTTTTTTAAATCAAGATCCTTGTCAGCCGTACTGTAGTTCATCGTTAGGTACTTTTAGTTCGGAGTCGAGTGCATCATACTCAATGGTACTTTTTTTTTAACCCCGCATTGTAGCACAAACGTACCGATTCATTCTTGTTACAATTTTTGTCCGGCATCATATAATACATCCTTGATCTCGGTCAATATAAGAAATTCATAGTATTTTCAAAAAGCTTTTAAATACTCTCGCATAGATCAGATGGAAACACTTCATTCGAAATCGGATTGTAAAAAAGCAACTTCCATTCTCGATAACATTCAGCTTAGCATACATGAAGAGATAAAGAGTACAGAAAACCAAGAACACTATGAATATTCTATGTGCATAGTAATGATATGCGCAGCTGTATGCGCAGTAAAATTGTTTGTGTAATTTTTAGTTTCCTCTGCTCGTGCAATTTTCGATTTTTGTTTGTGCATATTAAACCCTTTAATCGAGTAAAAAAATTCGGATTCGTGTATTTTTCGCTATGTTTGTGTAAAAATCTTTTAAACTATGTGCAATTTTTACCGATACGTGCATTCTTATTTTACTCGTGTATATTTTTCTTCTAGCTCGTGTATAAAATCGTGATCGTTGTGCATAAAATAATTTTGAACCAATCGGCGTGCCATAGTTCTGGGCCTCGCATTAAGAAAGTGAATGCTTATTATAACAGCACATTGGTCATCTACTCCACATCCTCCCGCGCAAAGACACGTTTGTAATATATTTATTTACATTTGTATTTGTATTGACATATAGTTAAGAACATGTATGTAAATATGTTTGGTTTAATTCATTTGTAGGGAAAGGGTGTATTAAGTTTTTAGAAATTTTGTCCAATCCCAATTGTACAGTATATACAATAAAATATGTTCAAATCAAGAACATGAAAATAGGAACCTGGGGACTTACCCAAATATATATTAAAATAATAAACTGTTTTTAAAAGAGCAAGGGAACAGTGGACTTTTGTTAACACACATGAATAAACATCTACATTTTTACGTTCACCAAAAATTTGGGGCCTACATTCGGGGACTGGTATCTTCGGGAATTTAGATCCTCCACAATCAAAAGTTTCTTTCTTATCAAACATCCTCCGTTTTCGGGATGCAGTTTTTTCTCTCACTATTTTGAACTAAAAAAGACTTTTTAAAAGGTGATAGAGGGAAAGAGATACTATCACCCCATTATAGAACATGAGAAGAGTAAAACATGTTTATGAAGCTACAGGTTATGGTTGTGAAAAAAAAAGATATATAATGTTGACTACACCATGTAGTGATGTACACAAAGAAACAAAATTAAACTGCAGGTACATCATTTCCCCTTTTAGGAATTAAAAAAACCCACTCAAACGTATTCGTTATACTGTGAACTTTGTTGACTTTATTTGTCTTTATCACACTGGAATCATTTTCTATCATCATCATCACCCCCCGTTTTGTGGCATTTGATGGCGTGAGTTTGCATGTATCCAGTAAACAACGCATTCCAGGCCGCGCTAAACTCGGCTTCTGTCACCTCTTGGTCCTCTGAAAGTTAAACATAACCGCCATTACAGTAAGCCCTATAAACAGTCCGGAAGTAAACTGTATATTCGAATTTTTTTTTTTGCATGTTTTTAATAATTTTTATAATGATTTATTACAATAAACTTAACATTCATGACACTAAAGGAGGTTAGGGGTCAACAAATTAACCATCAGATATAACTAAAAATTTTAGATCTGATATCTTCAGCTGTCAACTATCATTTGGCATAGAAAAATTTCATACATTTTACTTTTAAAAATTGATCATTTTTGTATAATTAAGGAAAACAAAATGGTCTGAAAATGGCCACAACCCCCAGCTAGCCCTCTTAACGTGTAAAATCAATTTGTTCGATGTGGTAAGTGTTTACCAGAGTGTTCGATGTCAGACTTGGATTTATATTCATGTCAAGAAAGTCTACTATGGAATTTTTCTTAAATTCTTTTTTAAATTCCAAAATGATTATGATTCCTGAATAATTTCTATCATTTTTGTTATTTGAGGTATTCGATATGCAAGGTCAAGAGATAGAAGTTCATTATAACACTTGTATGCAACAATTTTTCATTTAATGACAAAATAGATAAAAATTACAATGATTTTCTTACCATTGGCATCGAACAATCTAAAGAAATAAGTGATCTCATCAGTGTCTATGTGTCTACTGTCGTCTCCGTCAATCTCTTTGAAGAAAAGAGAAGCACCATTGTCACAAGGCAAATGTCTCGAAGCCCAATGTGATACAAAACTGTGCTCTGGAAAAAAGTTATAATCAGATGAATTAAATATGGAGATAACAAACTTATCAAGCAAAATTAAAAAGTTCATAGAAAGAAAACAAATTGGGAGTCGAGCAAACTTGGATCTCTTAAAAAATTAAATGTAGGATTAGGTGCCATAGAGGAGTAAACATCCCACTGTCAAACGGCCACGTAAGGTTATCAAGGAAATAATTCATAGTTTTCAATGAACATCGAGAAATTCCAAACTTATGTGGCATCAACTAAATCTTGACTTTGAAAAGGAGACTGATATTTTAAAATAAAACGAAACAAACTATATGAAATCCATTACGTTCTGACGTACGAGCCGGGTATCAAACTTAAAGTTTACAAACCATCCAATCCAAGACTATGGAACAAAGTTTGAAATTCTGACAGGCTCAGAACCTTAACGCTGTGAGACGACGCATAAACAGTGTGGTCAAAGTGTCCAAAGAGCTCCTGGGTATAGTCCGTGTCCGAGTCAGCAAAAACAACAGCAACACTACAATATAATTCAATTCATTGTTTACTTTGCAAGAAAAGCAAAAAAATCCACATTATCAAATTATCTGAAAGGAATGTAGAAACTGAAAAAAGTGACAAGAATTTAAAAGAATTATACTTACCTTACAAGAACAGAAAAAAGCCCGAGATGTGCCATGGTGACCGAAAGCTATTATACTGACTTGCTGATTTCAAGATAAAATGACCGACATTCCTTATCTTAGAACTTGTGTTGACCACGAGTGAAGATATTATTACATGTAGTTCAGATTGTGTGGGAAACCATATCCTATGATAATTCCACTGCATTTAGGAGGAATGACCCTCTGTTATGAAAGAAAACTCTGACTTGGAGGACTGGTCACTCTTTGTTAAGAGAGATAATAATATTGTCATGGAGGAATGGCCCTCTATTAATAAGATAATTAAAATAATCCTTTCGCAATTTTTATAGTCGATGAATTAATCTTGTCGGCAAATACAATTTATCATTAAATCATCTGATTGACATTTTTCAATCTAATTGTTACATGTAATCCGTTTTTTTAAACAATGAATTGTCTAAAGATTTTTTATTTTTTTTCAGTCAAGGAGCACACGACGGTTGTGATCGATCGGCAGGGGATATTCACTCCTCCATGGCACCTGATCCCTGACCTCTGATGCATTAGAAGTCCTTGTATGGTCTGCTCCTGATTTGCTTTGTTTGAATGGACTTCTGAGCTTGAATACTTTTCGTTATCTTCAGATATTTAAGGAATTACTGTCTGATTTTTTGGTTTCATAATTTTATTTATCGAGTGCTTGCGTGATAATTATATGCATTTATCACGCTAGCCAATCGATTGATCATTGTCATGAAACCAAAAAATCTGACAGTAATTGAATCCCTTATATTTACATGCTCTTGAGTCCGCTAATCCACTTTCTCTAAGCCCGCTTCTGTCTCTCTTTGTCACGTGATTTTTTTTTAACCGCGCCTATCGATGAACGAGTAGATTTATGAACAAATAAAGTACATTTACTATTTGAAATTTTATCTCGGACATAGACATTGGAAATGTAAATATTTTTTCATCGATTCCTGTGAAGAAGATAGATCTGAATGTATAAGGACTAACTTTCTACTAATGGAGATAACTCTGAAATAGAGGATTTGCACTCTCGGGATTGACCCTCTGCTAATTACTAGTAATGTATATAACTCTGTAATGGTTGATTGACCTCCTGCTATGGGAGATAACCCTGTAACGGGAAATTAACCCTCTGACGAGAAGACAACTCCTGAATAGAGGACTAACCCTTTACTAGAATTGAGAAAAAACTCGAATGTAGGATTTAGCAAGGGAAATCAGCTAAGGGAAATAACTTTAAAATGGAAAAGTGGACTCTGAAATGCAGAAAAGACTCGGCTAAGGAGAGGGAACTCTGTATCACAGGGTTGATTCTCTTTTGAGGGAGTTAACTCTGATAAGTGGAAAGTGGAGATGGTGCCAGATTTACCACTTGCTATGAGTGATCTGTAATTGGGGAAAGATGATTCTGAAAAATGGAGGATTGACCCCTTTGCTAAGGGACATAATTCATAAATTATGCGCCTGAATCGATAGATCCAGGGCGTATATTGCTTCTGCCCTGTCTGTTTGTCTGTTGTCAACTTTAACCTTCGCAATAACTTTTGAACCATGAGAGATAGAGATTGCGTATTTGGTATTATAGATACATACAACACTAATTAAGCATTTTCTAATGACACCAAGGTTAATGACCTTGTGACCTTGACTGTGACCTATATGCTAAAAATAGCTTTTTTAAAGAACTTTTGCCATAACTTTTGAACAAAAGGAGATAGAGACTTCATATTAAGTATGTATACTTTACTAATTCAGCTCTTTCATATGACACAAAGTTCAATGACCTTGTGTTCTTCACTTTTGAACTTTCGCCATAACTTTTGAACCATAGGAGATAGACTTTATATTTGGTATGCCTATCCCACTAAATAAATTCTCTCAAATGGCCCAAGGACAATGACTGACCTTAACTGTGACCTGTATGCTAAAAATAGCCTTTCTGAACCTAATTCACCATAACTCTTGAACCATAAGAGACTTCATATTTAGTATGCTTATTCCACTTATTACATTCTTTCAAATGACACCAAGTTCAATGACCTTGTGACCTTTACTGTGACCTATATGCTAAAAATAACTTTTTCGAATTTTGTTGCCGCCAGGCACATAGTGTTTCACAAATACATCTTGTTTAATTTAGAATTTTATTCAATATTCAAATAGGTTTTTAAATAATGTAATATTATATAATAAATATAAAAACTGATATATATATTTGATTAACAATTTCAGTAATACAGGTTTTTGCATGATTAGGAAATACTTGGCCTGGAAAAAGTAAGCACTGACAGATCAGGTTTTAATTTTAATTAAATGATCATCAAAAATGTATATGGAATTAATTTTTTAACTGTTATTTTTTATTGCAAGTCCTTGCTGTTTTAGTTGAAATGACAAGTGAATTCCCTCAAATACTGAAAACTAATACATGTACCTCATTTATAAATGATGCTATGTCCCGGTACTGGACATATCAAACATTTTTTTGATTTATTTTAAACAGATTTTAATAATTTATTTTAAAACAGTAAAGGACAATTTTATTAATCTTGCAAGATATATATTTTGATAACAAGAGCCTCCAATCCACACTTTGCAAAAGTTGTGTCCCTTGCAGGATCAATCAAAAAGTCAAAAGGGAAAGAACAACATTTCTCCTCTTTGTGCTACCAAACATTTGGGAGTGCTCTGTGACCTAAATTACTTTTAATTTTTTTTATCTTTCAATGCATTGATTTACACAAAATGCAAAGCATTTTTCCAGTAACCACATGATAAAAGTTACAAATGTGAAAACTATAAAGGCTACTGTGAGGATTCTATGGGGTTTTCCCCTAAGACGGCGGCCAAGGGACATAACTTTTGAAAAGTGTCGATTCAACTATTCTACAATGGAAAATTCTATCACTTTTAAACATTCTGAATAAAGCTTATCATAAAGCTTATGATCATAAACATTAATTTTCTTTATATCCCCATTTAGCTATTTCTTCCTCGGACACAGTTAATATTTCACATCCATCAGAGGTCACTAGAATTGTATGTTCAAACTGTGCTGACCGACTTCCATCCTCCGAGACCGCTGTCCATCCATCATCCTCCAAAATGGCCACCATGTCGGTCCCCTCTGATAAGATCGGCTCTAAAATTGAAATTAACGTTTTATTGATATATTTAATCAAGAAATCTTTATCATGAACACAATTCTACACATATCAGAAAAAAGTGGTTTTACATTGAAAAATTTAATACATTTTGAGCCAATCTATTTCATACTCAGTATAATGTACTATTACTTCATATATTTTACCTGTAAAATGTTCAAAGACAACAAAGTATTAATGACTACTCATCATCTATTGAATACTTTCAAAAAAGGGGGAAAATACATGCAAATTAAAGCCTTACCAATGGTGAACGTCATCCCCTCCTTCATAATCTCATGCTGTGAATCATAGTCTCCCAGAGCTGGAATTAATCCAATATACACATGTATGGCCATGAATAATTCAGCTGTAGTAAATACTTAACTTCAAGCAAAAGGAATTAATTTAAACATAAATGTAAAGTACGTTCCCTTCATAAACTCCCGTAAATTCAAGAAATATTTTAGTTTTGAACCCATTTCAAATTACACCTTTGGAAACATGTCATTCTCTTTTTAAATTTTGCAGATATTAAAGCATCTAAAAGAACAATTGATAAAGCAGACAGTCAACTAAAGGGCATATTAGAATAGCTTAATGGAAAAAGGGGGGAGTGAAAATGAACTATAGATAGTTTTCAGTAGACCCAAATTAACAAGAGCTATTTCCCGTCGGCCGCCATATACCGGTATATAATGGGGGTCAACATGCTCATATTCCTTCATAATTCAACCAACTTTAACTTTTGATACTGGCAATTGTGGGCTGGGAAGCATTGTTTTTCTGAAAAATATACATTTGTTAGAGCCTACTTTATTTCATAATGTTTATTCCATAAAGGTTTTCCCCCCAATATTTTGCAACACCCTCTTATATATTTGGTAGGACAAAGAGGAAAAATTACCAGGTTGACCACCAATTCAAGATGGCGGACAATGGGAAATAACTCTTGTTAATATGGGTCTACTGAAAACTACCTATACTCTGTACCAATGGTGAGAAATAGTGGTCTGTAATAAGAGCTTACGAATATGCATGATTTCAGGATGTGAATGGAAAACTGATCCTATACCATGTCCGCAGAATGCCGGAATAACAGAAAACCCATGGGACTCTGCCAGGTCTCTACAATGATAAGATGGGGCATTTAAAGTTAAAGGAGCTGACTAAGCTCTTTATTGTGTGAAAACTACAATAGAGAAATCTTTAATTTTACAGCATATGTACAGTAAGTTACATTGACTTCAGTGTATACATGCCAAGTTTAAGGAAAACCCACTGTCTAGGTATTTCAAGAGACCATCTCAAAAACAAAATATATATATGCAGTTATATTACATGTAACTATAGAATTATATGGTAAAGTGCCAATTTTTCACACTTCAAAGCAAATTATAAATAAATATATATTTTACTATATAAAATTGTTATTATATTTCAATATGTACAATGTAAAACAGTAAAAGAGTAATTTCACTACATTTTACTACAATATGCCAAATGGAAACCCCATTTGGCCATCTTAAACATTTTACATGTTGTAAGAAATTTTAGCAGAAAAACTAGAGTACATGTATATGACCCCCCCCCACAAAAAAAAAATCAGGATAAATTTAGTAAACAATTGTATTTCATAAACAGCAGAAAGACAGATGTGAGACACTCTTCATTCAGAAAAAAACCTCATTGGATCTTAATTTGGATCAGGTGTGCTAAAAACGAAATTATGTACATGTATGTGCCTGATCTACTTTGCTATCTTTGGTATACATGTCAACACATGTATCAATGATCACAACTAATGTAGGTGTGGACATCCAACTCTATATGACCTATAAGATTAATAGTAAATAGCTATATCAATGGATATGATAAAACTCAGACAAAATCCACACATGATTATCTGACCAGGCTTCAGGGCCACCAATGCCACGATTTTCATATGTTGGTGGTCTGGAAATCTGGCCCTGAATTGCCAGATTGAGGTACACATCTGATGGAAAAGTGTGATAAATGATTCCAAAAACTTACCAATAGCATCATGTGTAACAAACTAACAATAATATAGGGTTATTGAACTTACATTGGTGAATATTGGCACAAGATGACTGTACAAATGCACAAACTTGCGTGTGCAATTGTACAGCCAACAAGTGCCAATATTCACCAATGTAAGTTCCATAACCCTGTATTATATAGCTTATAATAATTATTCCAACTAAAAAAACTCAAATTAATGATTTTTTTTTTTTAGAATCAGTGTTCAAATTAACATGTCCTGTAAGTGTTCAATATGGCATCATTCAAATGACCCCTACTGAGCACAGTAGGAAATTGATTTTTTAGGCTTTATTGGGGCTATTATGTGCTTAATTTTTAGTAAATAATTTCATTTTTGTGTGAACATAAACACATCTTACCTAGTTGCCACTTCCTTTCTTTAATTTGCCTTTGAGAGATTGACCAGACAACATTTTTTGTTTACAACAGGGCGTTCGATTTTGAACGCTCGTATTTGGAATGTTTCGGGCATTCTCATACATAATACAAACGATCAGTGTTCAATAAAACGCCAAGATATTGAATGCTAAATTAAAATTCTCTAGATTTTTAGTAGTTTTTTATCTACTTTTTATTAGCTATGTAATAGAGTTTTTAATTTAGTGTCCAATTCTATGTTAAAGCCAAAAAAATCTTTAGATTCTCTAGCACAGTTGTCTCATTGGGATATTTAAATACTAGCTCCTACATTTATATTCTTTTCACAAGCTAAAAATGGGAGAATCTACAGGATAAAAGAAAAAAGAAAACCAAGTTAATCCACCTCTACACCCATATTAATGAAAACACAAGTTCTGGTCATAACAATATTTTATCGATAACAATATTTTATTGATAAGCTTTTAATAAAACAGTTTTAAACAACATTATTCAAAGATAATTTGAAGGCACTGGCCTACTTTTACCTGTGTAAGCACTACCGAAATTTGGTATTTTTCCTCAAGAGAAAATTTCCCAATAAAATCCCATTTTCTCCTTTTGATGAGTAAAAACATTACCTGATAATGATAAAAAGTTCAGAAATTTTTTTCATTCAATAAAAGTAAAATTTAAAGTAAAAATGAAGATGTGAAAAATGGTTTTACTTTGCTGTTTTATGCAATCTAAAGGGTCATCAAAATAATGAAATTCTGTTTGGTCCCCCAATTGTGCTCGCCCTTAGCCGCTGGAGATCTGGAGTGGCCATCAGACCCCCAGCTGATTTTCTCAATTTTCCTGCAAAACCTAGATTAATCCCTGCTTCTTTTACCTGCAAAAGCAATGACCTTTTTTTATACCTGTATTAACAATGACCTTCTTTTACCTGTACAAGCAGTGACCTAATTTTACCTGTACAAGCAGTGACCTACTTTTACCTGAATAAACACTGACCTACTTTAACCTGTTTTAACAGTGACCTACATTTACATGTACCTGTATAAGCAGTGGCCTACATTAAGCCATGACTTCTTTTTACATGTACCTGATAGCAGTTCCAATGGCAATGATTTTCTGTCCTGGTCTACACTGCTCTATCCCTGCATACAGACACTGTTCTGTGACTTTGACTAGTTGTTTGGCCTTATCATCCACTGAGCCAATCATGTAGGTCTTGGAGACATCACCATGCATGCCATCTTTATAGATCTACATAAAAATGGAAAATCATTATATTTTATACATATAAAACAATTCCATTGTGAAAGATTTACTAGTTATGTAACTTAAAAAAAATCTGTTTTGTATAATTAAATAAATTTTCTGTCCAAGAAAGCTTTAGTTTTACAGCTAACTTTTAAAGATTAAACATTACCCTGTTTGATCAACAAATTCTTAATAACAATATAAACAATTTAAACAAAACCTGAATATAAAGTTATATGTAGAGAATATTGAAATAGTCAAACATAGTTAATCAATGATTATGAAGCTCACCTCGACGAATGTTATCAGTGTAAGTAATGCAAATCTCACATCACATTTTCTTAATATCTAGTATTTATCCCAACAACAATAATCTTGCAAGTTGTGTTTAACCCCTTACAGGGCATATATATACACATTTCTACGCACGTGAAAAACATGTATATAGTGTAAGCAAATATTCATAACTTTGTTAATACTGCAGATATCAAGGACTTCAAGTTCATTGGGATTAATCTGTTCCCAAAACTATAACCTGGTCTCTTGTTTGGAAAATATAGGTCAGATTCAGCATCCAAAGCAAATCTGGTAGTGTCCATCCCTAGATGCATCATCTTAGTATGCAAGTTTGGTTCGGGTAGGTCTTATAGTTCTTTTGGAATGAAAATGTAGGTCAGATCCAGCATCCGAAGCAAGTCTGGTTGTGTCCATCCCTAGATGCATCATCCATGCAAGTTTGGTTTGGATAGGGCTTATAGTTCCTTGGGAATGGACCTGCTCCCAAAATTTTAACCTGGTCACTCATCTGGAAAATGTAGGTCAGATCAAGCACCCGAAGCAAGTATGGTAGTGTCCATCCCTAGATGCATCATCCATGCAAGTTTGGTCCGGGTAGGGCATATAGTTACTTGGGAATGGACCTCCTCCCAAAACTTTAACCTGGTCACTCATCTGGAAAATGTAGGTCAGATCCAGCATCCGAACAAAGTCTGGTAGTGCCCATCCCTAGATGCATCATCCATGCAAGTTTGGTCTGGGTAGGGCTTATAGTTACTTGGGAATGGACTTGCTCCTAAAACTTTAACCTGGGACGCCGAAGCCGACACTGACACCGACGCCAACGCCCGGGGTATAGCATAAGCTTATCTCGACTTCGTCGAGGTGAGCTAAAAATGCACATGTAAATTCAGACTGAAAAAATTCTGTTAATCCTAAGGTACAAGCTGCCATAACAAGGCAATTTAACCACCCAGAAAAATCATGTTTTATTTCATCGCGATTGCTCACCGTGACATCAACATTTATGATATCTCCATCCTCCAGTGGCCGGAGGTCTGGTATCCCATGACACGCCACGTTGTTGACGGATGTACAGATGGACTTGGGGTAGTTATTGTATAGTAATGGTGAGGGGTAGGCTCCATTGTCTATACACATCTCATGTATATACTCATCTATCTCATCTGTTGTCATTCCAGCCTATAAAAATGAAGTTACCAGTAATTAGTTTTTCATTATGACTCTGACATCTTTGTAATTTGTATCTTTTATATTAATGATAGAAAACTTGCTGAATGTCTAGAAATAATATACATGAAATATCAAGATTCTTTCTCTCTTAAATTGATAAATTTAAAAATATATTCTGAGATTTTATTAAGATTTTAATCAAACTTAATTATCATAGTTATATGTGCAAGTATATTACATGTTTACATTGTAAGTTAACTAAATAAGTAAATATAAAATGAAATATTTTCCAATTTCCATGTTCTTTACACTGTTCAAGCTGACTTAACCATTTACTCAAACACAAAATTTCTTTCCTTAGGCTAGTGGATATGACAGGTACATGTATGTTTTACTGTTTGAGGAGTCAGCATGTGTATACTAGGCTATTATCACTTGCCTTTAACTGTTTTCCTGCTGAATCAAGAATCTTTCTTGCAAGTCGACATGTATTTCTCATAGTTTGAATCTGCTCCTCATTTTTTATTTCAGTTTCTACTGGCTTTGGTCCTACCACACCTGTTACTGCATAGGGAGGTTTCTGTATAAAGCTTGGCACAACTCTGGTAGGTGTTGTTTTATGTGGCAGCACAATACTGTATATGTGTAAAAATTAAAAAAAACACAACATTTTAATGATTGATTCTTTGCACAAAACTGATCATGACTTATAAAACTCTTTAAAAGATGATGTGTTTGTGAAACACTGATGCCCCCATTTGGCAAAGATTAAACTTTTCTTAAACAAATGCAAATTAAATATATTGGTAACATACATGTAGTAGGGTCTTCTTACAAGAAATACAATTGTGAAATATGAAAGCCCTTACCATTTAAAATTTATGGTCCAGGTTAAAGTTTTTTCGTAAGAACGGAAATCTCCAAGGTCAAGGTCAAAAAGTCTAAGTTGTTGGTATCAAATGAAAGGTCTTGCCACAAAGAATACATATGTGAAGTATGAAAGTCCTAGTATCTACTGTTCAAAATTTATGGCCAAAGTAAAAGTTTCTGTGTATAAGTGGGTCAAACTCCAAGGTCATTATAAAAGGTCAAATCTGGTGGAACCTTTAGAAAAGTCTTGTTACAAGGAATGCTTATGTGAAATTTGAAAGTCGTAGCTCCACTAAATCTAAAGTTATGGGCAAGGTTAAAGTTTTTGCAGACAAACAGACAGACAGACAGATGGACATAACAAAAGCTATATACCCTCAAATCTTTGGGGGCATAAAAACTTCTTTCTTGTAAACAAAACATAGGAGTGAATACCTGAACTTCCCCCTTTTTATTTGCTTGTTCATGGTGGGAACTCTGGATAGCACATGTGAAAACATGGGATGCGCTTTTGCTGCATGATACACACAGTATGTAAACTTTCCTCTCATTCCAGATCCTGTGAATACATGTAATATATATATATATATATATATATATATATATATATATATATATATATATATATATATATATATATATATATATATATATATATATATATAAAATGTAAAATACTTTTTCTTTCAAATATGTTCATCAGAGGCTAATAAACTTAGTTAGGTGCAATAATGTATCCCTCTTCCTTTTTTGGAGAGAGAAGGAGAAAGAGGAAAATATCAGAAACAAAATGTGTTTGTAAAACACTATTTGCCCTGCGGCAACAAAGTTTGAAAAAAAAAACAAACTATTTTTAGCATATTGGTTGCAGTCAAGGTCACAAGGACATTAACCTTGGTGTCATTTTTTGAAAGAACTATAAACTAGTGGTGTATGCATACCAAATATGAAGTCTCTTTCTCTTATAGTTCAAAAGTTATGTGTATGGTGAAGGTTCAAAAAGGCTATTTTTAGCACATAGGTCAGTCAAGATCACAAGGTTCATTGACCTTGGTGTCATTTGAAAGAACTTAATTAGTTGAGTAATTATGGATACCAAATATGAAGTCTCTATCTCTTATGGTTCAAAAGTTTTGGTGAAGGTTAAAGTTGACAGACAAAAAGACAGGACAAAAACAATCCCCCCCCCCCCCTGATCTAATCCGGGCGGATAAAAATCTGAGGGTTACATTATTGCATCCGCAGCAACTACATCATCAGGTCCAGCACAATACCCTGATTAAGGTATTTAGCTTGATAAAGCTATATAGCTTTATCAAGGTATTACAAATACCTTGATCAAGGTATTTTTATGTAATGAAAATTCAAAAAAATTCTTAAAAAATGAAATACTGAAAGTCGAGTTCTTGAGTTTTGGTCAGTATGTCCACTTGTGCATGAAAAGCACTCTGGTATCAAAAAGACAACATAAAAGAATGTCTCCTCACATGACATGCTTTTATACTTATTTCTTTGTGTTTGAGTACTAATTACATGCGTGAATTTACTGACAATAACTCAGAACTCGACTTTCAGTATTTATTTTTTAAAGAATTTTTTTTTTAGAATTTTCATTACATAAAATACCTTGATCAAGGTATTTGTAATACCTTGAAAAAGCTATATAGCTTTATCAAGCTATATAGCTTTATCAGGGTATTGTACTGGACCTGATCATAGCTTTTAAATGCACATGCTATATAGAAATCTATATCAATATAATTATGGAATACCAATTCATCAAACAATTAAAAACAGGAAATACTGTAAACATGGTTATTTTGACAAGTTGAAAAATTGATGATTTTTTGTTTACTGAAATTGACAAGTGTTAATTTTGACGAAATATTTAATCAAGAGTTTCAAATCTTTGAATTCATGAGGATACAAAGGCAGCGTCGGAATCACTAAAATTTAATTTTTGTACAAACTATCTATGTGTGTAAATTTTGATTAAATAAATTGCCCTCTTGTTATTTGATTTCATTATAATCGGTCAATTGCCTGAGGTGACAAACTATGCCAAGCACGGCGTGATAATTACGCTAAGTTACGCATGCAGTATTTGATACACTAATTTAGATTCAATGATTCTTAAAAATGTGATTATATATCACTATGTTTTCATAACTAATTACAAAAGAAATTAACAGTGACTTTGATCTAGTTGTAAAAGGAAAAAGCCGTGAAAATTTAGCCGTAAAGTTGTACAATGGTCAATATCTGTTGTGACGCTATGTATATGATACTGTAAAACGAGAACATTTGGCGCATACATATTTTAGCGCAAACGTAAGTGGGAGTACATTGGCGCAAATAAATTTTAGCGCTTGCACTTAAAAATAAAATATATAAATGTGATATTATTTTTTTATCCACGCCCATTTTTGACTTTTTGGTTAGTCAAGCACTGAAACATATTAGTACTCCCGTATATCAGTAAACATTCGTTACCGTTACCGCGGTACGTGTTGCTATCACATGGACCTGGTACAATGTTAAGATTTATTTTATTTCTATTTTCATATAAAAGAAATGGAGTATTTACTCATTTAAATCACATTAAAAGAATGCATGAATCGACAGAAAATTACTCAGATAAAACGGTAATCCTAATCAGGTATTGTCTGCAAGCTCAATCGCCATGCTTGATTGCATTGTTTACCTCGAGGCGATATATTGACACGCCGAGAAGCCAAACTTTGAAGGTGCTAATGATAATTATCCGGTAACAGCTACCGGGGTAACAATAGTTTAATTAAATTATGATTTGGCAGAACTTTCTGTCTTCCGTACATGTGCAGTGCTAGTGTGTATATAAAATCCAATGACCCCTCGGCATTACGTAATCGCGCATTCCAGTTTACATGTACTTATGTAAAAGCTTTGAACACACACAAAAATGATATTTAAAAATCCTTTAGCGCACGATAAATTTTAGCGCTCAGGGGCTCTTGCGCCAAAGGCGCTAAAATTAATAGTGCGCCAAATATTCTCGTTTTACAGTAATAAGTTTGACGAGTGTAAATTTTGACGACAAAAGAAAAATCGTCAATATAGTCAAAATTAGCACATCGTTAAAATTTCCACGTTTACAGTACTAGGATCCTACTCTAAGTCTTAAACTAGAGGTACTGTGAGCAATGAGCTCACTAAATGATACCCCCCGCCTCCCATTTGAATAAAATGGCAGTGTCCATGTTTTGCTCTGGAAAATCCAAAATATGTCAGATCAAAAAGTAAAATAGGAGGTGCACAATGGCAATATGTAATAAAGATTCTATGAAAGTTTCATCAAATTTCATTCAGTGGTATGGGAGGAGTTGCGGATAAGAGATGGGTACCCCAAAGCGTAACAGACGGACGGACGGACAGACGGACGGACAGACAGACGGACGGACGGACAGACGTACAGACGGACGGAATTAACGATTACTATATACCCTCCCGCTTTTCAAGCGGGGGGTATAATCATAGGCATTGCAGCATCGAGAAGATTTGAACAGTGTATCGCTGTAGTAGTTCATAGAATAATCCGAGATTCCTCTGACTCTAACCCCTGCTTTTATATTGGGCGCGCTTGATTTGTCTACACCTTACTACACCCAGTGTAGACGATTTACACCTCATAATCAAGTGAAATTGGGTGTAGTGTAGCAAATTCAACATGGATGTCAAAATTTCAACAAACTGAGGGAGGCCTATTTGCAGACCATTTTTTAATAAAATATTTGTTGCGATTGTGAACATTCTTTTAAAACCATTTAAAAACAAAACATTTTACAAAATGCAAATAATTTTTTTTAAACATTGTTCTAGCTGCCCATAATTACCCCTATAACTAAATATATAGCCATAGTCAAATATATTTACTTAGAGACTTAATCAACCAAACTTGCAAAATTGGCTTATTTTTTTAATTTTACAAATTATGAAGTTTTTCATTTTCCATAAAATGCACAAATCATGGTCCACTAAATTACTAAAAACAATTCATCACAATCAACCTATCAAATACTTGACAGTAAACTCAAATACAGAAAAAGAAATTCTGCAGATTTACCGTCTCGTCATTTGTCAGCCATATTGAATTTTCGGTGTAATTACCTACACATGCCCTGCACAGGGTGTAGAAGGTGTACACCAAAAGTGTACACTTTTTCACTTGATTATGAAAAAGTGTACACCGGGTGTAAGGTGTAGACAAATCAAGCGCGCCCATTGTGACCTGCACAAGTCACAATATAAAAAAGCAGCGGTTAGAGTCAGAGGAATCTCGGATTATTCATAGAATGACACATAATGACACTGTGGATTTGTAACTAATTGTTGATGGCTTTGTTTTATTTCTTTGTTAGATGCCTTACCCAAGTCTTTATGATGAGGATGAAAACAGTATGAGTGCAATTAAAGGCCACCAAGTAGGCAAGGAGACAGCTTCGTTACCTTTCCCGTTCCGCAGACGAAGTCAAACTGAAAGTAGATGTCGACAAAAGGCCGCACAGATCTAATGACATTAAAAATAGATAAATTTTGTTCACATAGAACAGAAATTAAATGAAAATTTAATAAAAAAAATAATTGAAATTCAAAATTTATTATATCTTGCAGTATGTCTATTATTTGAAGTCGATTGATTTTAAGTTCACGATTTTTTTAGGTGCTGGAAGTGGCAGTTGAAATTGAAAGTGGAAGTTGAGCACCTGTCGACATCGACAGAACCGGTGTTGGTGGAAAAAAAGGTAAACATAGCATGTAATCTGTATTTTATTGTGTTTTCAAGCAGTGTGAAGATATCATATTTCGATTTCTTGACGTTTTTGAGTTTACTTATTGATATTTAGATGTATGCCATGTAAGCTTTATTTTTTTAAAATGATAGACAGAAAGTTTTGACAACTCACCAATCAAAATCGACCACATCAGTAGATAAGAAGTAACAATCATATTGAAAAAAATATTGGTAAACTCAACTTTTCTTCAGATCAAATCTTTAAAATTTGCTGAACTGAATCTCAAATACGTAATAATATTACCAGGGGGTACTTTACAGAAATGGATCTACGTCTTCTCCTGCTAACCGTGGGGTCTCTTTTGATTGTGGAATCAAAGAGAGATGATGAACTCTACTGTGCAGGTAACTTTATTTTATTTTAGCAGTTCTGTACTTTACAACAATTGAAAATTTTGCAAAATCAAGCAAAACTGCCCCCCCCCCCCAAATAAATGCACTCAAAATGTACACATACATGTAGCTCTAACTATTCCATAGCTCTTGTTTGTAGATCCATGTGAATACAATGTTTTTAAAGATAACATGATTTTTTAAAAAGTTCCAGAAATTAAATATTATTTATATGCACTTCTTTTCATTACAACAATGTATCTCTCTTTCCTCGAAATATTGGAAAGGTTTTATATTTGTGATTTAGATGTAGGTCAAGACCATAACAGTACAGTAATTCTTTTTTGTAATTTTTCTTTTGATGTCAAAGTGTTGATAATTCAAACCTCTTTCCTCTTCTGTCTTGTAGTTTGCAGGGCTTTAACTGATGAAGTTAACCACAGTATTTCCTCCGTCAACTCCAAACAGAAAGTTCAAGTTGGCAGCTTTAGAGTGGACTCCAAAGGAAACCAGAAGACTGTAGAGGTAATTGATTAATTGACATGTAGATGCACAAAAAACCTATTCATGTACATGCAATTTTATATTGTCGCAGTGACCATTCATAATTCACAGGTACCACAGTCAATTTTTGATCTCTGCCCTTCTACATGTAATTCTAGGTCACTTCTGAAATTTGTTACGTAAACCAACTTTTATTCAGGACGACTTTATTTCAAGATTTACTGGGGGTAAACTAGTTCTCAACATTCAATTTTTGTGATCAGGCCTTTTTAATCTGTAAATTATAGATGCAGAGACTTTAAAAACCAATTTGCAGTGAGAAATATTCGCGATGACAAGGCTTTCATGAACCTGGCATAAATTTCTCGCACACACATTAAAGTTGCTTAACAGTAAATTAATACAGTGCACAATGAAAGCAACCTAATTTCAGATGGGTATAAGATAATTGAATTCATTTATGAATTCAAAATATGTACAGTACATGTACATTCATTTGTATGATTTGCAGGTACCCTATGCAAGATCTGAAGTTCATCTAACAGAGGTTTTTGAGACAATTTGTGAAAAATTCAGGCAGTATGGAAATACAAAGAACGGACTAGGAAAGAGAAGTATAGTGAGAATGGTCTCCAGGGATGGCAAGCCTTTGGTGCTCAAAGACATACAGATTACAATGGAGGGGATGAAACTATTGACACACACAGTAAGGAAAAAGTTTATTTCAGATAACTTTCTGCAATATTTGTAACCCATTTTATTTTCACCATGTACATGTATTATTGAAATTATAACTTTGCCATTAACCAGAGAAAATTTACATGTGATTTATTAATTCACACCTAACAATGAACTCAGTTATCATACAGAAAATCAAGTACAGAAAAGTTCATAATCTCTTTGTAATAATAAGGGAGTTATAGTGTTTCATACTCAGTAATTCAGTTCATCATTTGCTTGATACTACCACATTAATTGAAGTAAAGATAACATGTCAAATGACAAAAACCAGAAAACTTAATAATTACATTGTTTTATGTATGTAATGGCTGATAGTTTAACCTTTAGCTTTAATTTTTTAACTATTGTACTAATATTTTTTTCAGTGTGAGACAATAGCGGAGGAATATGAAGACCAGATAATCCGAGCCTTTAGACACGGAGAACTTCCTGAAGTAGAAAAGAAAGTGTGTGGAGAGATTGCAGGTACGTCCTAAATTTAAACAGAGAGTGCTCTGTCATCTCTATCTTTACCAAAACATTGGTACAACACACTCCAGTACTATATATCTCATAGAAATCATCATCTATGGGGTAAAAATGTCAAAATTTACAAGCTAAAATACTAATCATATTTATTTTATATCTTCTAAAAATATAATTACACAGAATACTGCTCTGAAGAAGATCTGAACACTCCAATGCCAGAACCAGGTCCTGTCCAGGAATCTCAGAAAGTGGAAGATAAAGAAGAGGAGGATCAGGAAAACGAGGATGAAACAGACGAAGGCATTGAGGAGGAGGAAGAAGGAGAAGATGTAAAGGACTCAGACAAGAAAGAGAAAGAGGAGTTATGATGCGAATTTATAAATATCTAGAGGAGTTGTCTTTCTTGATTGTATTCAATAGTGCTCACTTTCAGGAAATTAGTGAAATGTGATTTAAATTTTTTTTATATGAATTTATTTCTCTCTACAAAACATGTTTGAAAAGCATGTTCAAGGTAGACACATGTAGTATGAATACATATATTTAATGATTTGATACTTTGTCACAAAGTGATGTTAAATATTACACATCAACACAATTGGAAACAAATTTCTGATAAGGCAATTCAAAGTAAAGGAAGATATATTAATCTGACAGCTTAAAGAACATTAGGAATAGGATTGGTTAATTTTAATTTCTGGTTAAAAACTGATTCTCAAAGCTCTTTTTTTATTTACAATGTACACATACTGTAAACTGTATATTTTTTGGTTAATTTTTGCAACATACTTAGAATCCGAATCTTAGTGAAGTAAAGAGTGACAATCTAATTAAAATCAGACTTCTTAGATCGCAGAGTGTATACGGCGCGGATCTAAGAAGTCTGATTTTAATTAGATTGTAAAGAGTGACTGTAGATTTAGTGAGTTTGAATAATTCACATGTTAGAGACTTGTATAATTTTTCTATAAAAAGTACATATTCAAGTTCTGAATCAGATTATGGTAAAAAATTTCACTGTACAGTTAAACTTGGTTATAACAAAGTCACTTCATTGGACCTATGAAATTTCTTTGCTATATCCGTAATTTATTATACATGTATTCATCTTAGGGAATTTGAAAAATTTTCATAGTGACTGAGGAATCCAAGAAAATTTCCCTGTATCTGTGAATTTGCTATATAGGTGTTCGTACTAAATAAGGTTTACTGTATAATAATAGTGTTATGGTTGAATTTTGAATGTGCATCTGATTTCAATTGAAATCAACTTGATCATTTTTTAAAAATAATTTTTGTGCTTCATTGATTGACCATTAATGTGTGAAATTTATTGGAATGGATGGGAAACTGAACTGCCTGATTTTTCAAATTCATTTGATTTACACATATATTTAATTTTGAATGAATGTGTCCAAGGAGTACATGTTCTCATTACATTTAAAATAGACATTGTCTTTTATTTTTCTACTATGTAGCTACATGTATTTGATCAGATTGTATGAAGCATAATTTTTGATACAGCTCTTTCAAAGGACAAAATGCTTATTTTAGTGGGGACCATATCTTGATGGGGCAAAAGTGTTTGCAAAAGCTAAAATAACCATGTATACAGTAAATTAGAGTTTAAATACATATGTTTATTGCTCAGTTGTACATGTAATCCTGTTTTAATACTTACAAGGGAGAATTTTCATCCATTCATCAACTGTATTTAATTTATAAATCACTGGCATATTTCTTATTGGGCATTTTCTAGGGTAGATATTAAAATAAAATTTTAATGCTTTTTTTCAGATAATTCTAGATGATATTCTTTATTGTTTCTTTGAAATCTTAATATAAAATCAAAGAATAAAATTATTACAATCTTTGTATACACTTATTTGTACATTTTGTTTGATCAGAAATTATTTGTAGGCACATCTTCCCATTGCTGTAGAGAATCTAATTATAACCACCACCACCCCACCACCCCCTCCCCTCCCCAATTTTGATGTACATGAAATTTTATGAATTAGACCAGCAGCTACTTCAGTGGTAACAAATTAACACTGTATTGCATTAAAAAGGGATATGAAATTCTGACAGTTTATGCTCCTCTTTAAGTAAAATATTATTGGTAATCCATATGTTCATGGGCACACATATATGTACAATGTAATACAGTTGTCAAAACTGACTATAGATTTTCCTGTAAGCACAATATAATATTTACATATGAAATACTTGAAAAATTCCTCTGTAATTGTTTGATAGTTATATTTAGGTACTCAGGCCTACTTTTGGTACCTCATGCTTGTACATGTTTCTTAAAAAAGTAAATCAGTTTAATTTTTAAACTGTATCAGACCTAAGTTGTGTAAAAACATTTTCATTTGAACGATATCTAGCTAACAATTAAAAGAAAAGGGAAAATATATAGGTTGCAGGCTCGTAGAAATGGCATCAAATGTGCAAATGGGGGTGTGGAACAACAACCTCCTCCGGAAAAAAATCTGAAAAGCAAAGAGAAAAAAAAATTGTGTTGATTAAAAACGCACAAAAATTTGCACCTCTGTTTTATTTAACGGCAAGAAAAAAATTGGAAGTCGGGGGGGGGGGGGGGGGTGTTGAGTAGTAAAAGGAAATTTAAATATATCAGCAAAATACTACACTCGGAAAAAAGAGGAACCCCCACCCCCACTCCTGGTGTGTTCTAAAGGATGCACGGGACATGTAATAATGTATTCTACATTTAATTAATTTGACTTTTATTTATCTTACAAATCATTACAAATATATATCTTTATTTAGTGGCGTCTCTGCAATGACAAAATTACAATCAAATTAACAATACTAAACTATAAATAATACAGTTTAAAATTACTTCGTTATTTACACTTTAAAATACTTCTGTAAAACTTGAAACAGTATTCAGACAATGAATGAGATAATTCGAACTATAGTACACTCTTAATTCAATTAATACAACGAAGCTTAAATCAACTTTGTAACACAAAAGTATTCACAATGCATATTTTTATTGATAAAAAGAAATATTTCAGGGAGACAGTAGCGGTAATGTCGACCCAGTTACATTTAAAAGCATATTTACAAAACTATGTATTTTATTGTTGATCAAAATATAAAGTTTTTTTCGATAAGGAAAATCAATTGAATCGATACACTTATATAGCAATCTCTTCTGCAAATGTTCTTCTTAATCACAAATGACGTAATATTTGAATAAAGAATGAAAGAAAATGGAAAAAAATCACTGAATAAGAAATCCACTGAAAATGCAGTAATAATCTTCATCTAAATTTGCAGTTGTGGTAGCCTTAACAAAGACAACATCTCCAGCTTCTAGCTGCACGACAACAATGGACGACGAGGAATAAAAGAAACCACTCCTTATATATTTAGAATACCTGACAACTGTTGGTTTCCATTTTTAATCATTGAAAAGTACGAATCTTTCCCGTCGTTTAACAGCGATACAGCAAACTGGTAAACACCTCGCACTGGAGCCGTAAAGTGTCCATAACTTTCATGGTAAGCGTTTCCAAGATTCAGAATTGTTTTATCGAACACCACTGTCTGTCCAGCAAAGAGGTCAACATCGTGCGATAGTCTTGCTGTGAACGCTATTGGGTCATGGCCTGAATTTTAATGAATAAAGTCATTTTTTATAGCATTTCAAATTTCAGTATATTACATATATACATCGGGCTGTGTAAACATGCTTACATATGAATACAAATTTCTGAAATAAGGTAAGCTACTGACAATTAAGTTGATGATACAGTGATATCAACAGACCATTTAAGCTGCGCTCAAGATCTTAACGGCGAACATAGCAGAGAGGTGTTAACTATCTATCTGTATTAAACGGACAGCTAGCTTAGCCGCTATAAGTGTCAGATTTCAGATAATAAATATCCGTAAAAACTTATTTTTCAAACACAAATATATATATGTTAATTTACAAAATCCCTAAAATGTAGAAAAATTCTACTCTTTTTTTGGTTAAAATCTTGAGTATTAGGTACAAGTAGTTGTAATAAAGAAAGCCAACTTGGATTTGGTACCTCAGTATTAAACTTTTGTGCTAGCTCTCCCTACGTAGCGACTAGGTTAGCTCTCCGTTCAAGGCTATGTAGCAGCTATGCTATTGAACGTACTCCAGTAGAATGATCTTAGCAAAAATAATCTACAATTTTCCTTTTTTTATTATTAATATGATTTCAGGGAACCAGATGATATGACAGAAGTGTTGCCTCAAATTTTTAAACATACTTACTTTGTGCGTTGATTTTTGTTTTCAGTAAACTTGTTTCTCTTTTCAGTTGATCAATCTCATAGTTCACCGCGTGCTGAAGACTGGTGTTGAGTTGCTGTATGAGTTGCTTCAAGTGCTCAATATCATTCCCAGAATTTGTCACATTTAAGCAGATATACCTTTTCCCAAGTAGCCCAAAAACAAACAGTACAGCTAAAGGCGACATTGCTGCTCAAAATTTCCAATGTTCAAAAATTTGACTAATTTGTCAGGGGTGCACTTTGGTAAGTATATACATATAACTTGGAGCTAAATGTATGGTTATTTGTATAACTTATCTGCATTTATTTTTCACCAATAAGATATTGCTTATTTGTTTACATTCATCATAGATGAAATAAAAACTTAAAAGGTATACATGTACCTTGAACATCCTTTGTAAGTTATTTATGTTAATAACAGCGCTGCTGGTAATCCTGAAATGCCAACCACATCAAACACATTCAATGTTTAGTGTGAAGTGATACTCGTAAGCTGATGATTTTCAAACTCAAAGAGTCCTTTCGTTATCTTTGATTTAATATTAAAATCGATAATTTACAGCCCACTCTCCATTCATTAGTATTTAGAGTAAGTTAAACTTCATGATCAAAGAAAGTCCAGTGTCCATCGATCGTTGTTAACATATTATCAACTTCGATCTTCTCGAGATCCATTCGACGAATTTCAACCAAACTTGACGCAAAGCATCCCGGCTTTAGTAAAGGGGATAAGTTTTATTCATGGGAAGTGCCAGCCCTTTTTTAACAGTTTAAGGGAATATAGTTATATAACTCGTGTAATTTTTAGTGGCATCTTGAAAAAAAAACTCTTCCCAAGAACCATTGATAAGAAAATGAAATTTAAGTGAAAATTAACTTCATTATACATATGCACTAATTTTGTTCATATCATAACTCCGTGGTAGGGCGGGGCAATAAGAGGGGATTCAAAGTTTTCCAATAGATGATCAAAGTTTAACACAGGAATATAGCTTAGGGAAAAATCTTTTCTGCTGAAGAACAGCAAAGCTGTGATTGATCATATTTATATGAAAGCATCCTCAGGTTAGGCGGAGTAAATTAACTTTGTTGGAATCATGACCCTGGGGTTATGTGGTGACCACAATGGACGGTCAAATTTTTACATTAGAATAAATGGGAAATTTATTTTCAAAATCTTCTGTGTAAGAACAACAATGTCATGATAAGTAATATTGATATTAAAGGTACTTGGATATTTATGACCCCGTAAACGAAGTTTCGGGGGCATATAGTTTTTGTCGTGACTGTCTGTCCGTCTGTCTGTCTCTCTGTTTGTCTGTTTGTCCGCAAAAACTTTAACCTTGCCCATAACTTTTGATTTAGTGGAGCTATGACTTTCATATTTCATATGTGTATTCTTTGTGATAAGACCTTTCCTTGGGTACCACAAAATTTGACCTTTTGACCTTGACCTTGGAGTTTGACCCACTTTTACATGAAAATTTTAAAATTTTACTTTGGCCATATCTTTTGAACAGTAGACACGAGGACATTTATACTTCACATATGTTATGTTTGTTAAAAGACCTTTCACTGGATACCAGCAACTTTGACCCTTTGACCTTGTAGATTTCCTTACTAGTGAAAAAACTTTAACCTTGGCCATAACTTTTGAATGGTAAGGGATAGGGCTTTCATACTTCATACATGTAAACCTTGTGAGAAGACACTTCATTGGATACCAAGAACTTTGACCCTTTGACCTTGACCTTTGAGATTTACCTACTTTGAAAAAGCAAATCTTGACCATAACTTTTAAAGATTTAGGTCTAGTGCTTTCATACTTTACATATTTGATCATTATGACAAAACCTTTCATTTGATAACAATAACTTTGACCCTTTGACCTTGACCTTGGAGTTTGACCTACTTTTTAAGAAATTGAACGTTGTTCATACCTTCTGAACGGTTAGGGCTAGGGCTTTCATGCTCTACAAAAGTATTTTATGTGGCAAGACCTTTCATTTGATACTAATAACATTGACCTTTTGACCTTGGAGATTTTTGTAATTATTAAGAACTTTAACATTAGCTTACTTTCAAATTTCACAATTGTTTTCCAGTGAGAATACCCTACTTTTGGTACCAATTAATTAAATTTGCATTTAAGAAAAGCTTCATCTTTGCTATGTTGCCATACGGGGGCATCAGTGTTTTACAAACACATCTTGTTTCTGTACATTTCTGTATAATATCACGAATTATGTATTTTAATAGCATTTTACACAAAAAATAATTAAAAAACTTATTTCTTTTGAACATATATTCTAAGGATTAAGAATAAAGTTAAGATTTGTGAAAGTGCAAGGATATATGTCAATCAAACCCGCCTTAAAGTTTTAATAACTTTTAAATGAAATAATTTTTTAAATTAATTTTTGTGTGAAATGCTATTAGAATATATAAGTCGTAATATTATAGAGAAAATATTAATTTCAAATCTGTGTCCAAGTACCTTTAAAGCAATCCTGAGGTAGTGTTATATCAAGTTTGTCCCCCCGTAAATTTTTCAATAATCAAGTGATTTCTGTATTTTCTTATCCAATATGCCAAGCAGAGCGATGTCTGTCTTCCATGTAGCTATTCAAATTAATATCACTAAAGGGGAATTTCCATTCATTACAAAAACGCCAATATCTCACAAATACTGTAAAATCACATATTTTCGTGGGGTCAAAGAACTGCGAACGATAGTATTGTTTTCCCGCCTACCTCTAAGTCAATATTTAAAAGTTAATATATTCGATGAATTTTTAATATTTTTTATAGATAATTATATGAATTTTCATAAAACATTACTTATTTGGGAAAACAAAGAGAGATAACTCTAAAATTTTTGTAAAACTTGTGTTTTTCACTGTAGAAATCAATGGAAAACGGAAAATATTTTTAAAACATCTCCCCCCCCTCCCCGTGTCACAAAAATTCCTTTTTACAGGTAATATGGAATGGTATTTGACAAATTCATACCAAAGCTTTTTGTGTGACACGGGGGGGGGGGACATATGTTTATTGACAAAAAAACGATAAAAATGCTTATTTTCCACCAATATCAAAGCGATATACAACTGAAACACAATATTTTAATGAAATATTTATGTTTTATTTATTTGCCTAAAACATAAGAAAAGATATAAGGAACATTTAATCATATCCAAGACTATTTCAAAATACGGTGATGCTTGAAACTCCTATCTTAATATAAAACATCGTCTACCCCCCTTTTTTCAAGAGCTGGAATTGTGGACATTTTATTGTTTAGAGCTGGTATTAAGATGATTTATCAATTACCATTGAACTGTTCTGTGTATAAAACCAATATTTTATGGCTAAATTGCTATTCATATTGAATTAAATGGTTCCAAAATGTAGGCGGGAATCGAGAGTTAGCGTGCGTGTTTCTTTTCGTGGTTGAAGGAAAAAATTTTGGTTCGTGGGGAGCTGATTTCGTGGATGATGAACTTTTTATAAGCTGTACATATGAAAATTTACATTTCGTGGTAAACATGAATTCGTGGGTCTCTCATACTTCGGAAAAAACGAAAATTTAACCCCCACGAAAATTAGTGATTTCACAGTAAGCGCTTCCACATCTTAATTGGCAGCATTACTTTATCGCTGAACTTATACAGTGACTGTTTATTTAAACAGTTAAAATCGGGAAATGCCCATGTTAATTATAGGAAAATATACAAGCATCAGTGATTTTAACTTCACTTCATTTGGAGAAAAAAGGTATATTTCCCTATATAAACAGGAAAAGATCCTTCAAATTACTTTTCTGGACCAAAAGATACAAAAATAAAAGAAAACATTCATGTATTACATGTAAGTTTTTTTTAATTCAAGTTTGTTTAAAGTATGTCTAATGGCTAGTGTAAAGTCAAAAGAAGGCCAAGAAAGAATTTACTGGATGCAATATATATGTATTTGTACAAGTTTGTAAACATTTCAATGTAGTAAATACACATGTATTTCAACTTTGTTTGTATCATTACCCCACGGTAAAAGGCTGGACGGGGCTAGGTCAAATTTTGACAAAAGAGTAAACAGGAAAATAGTCTCTTGACAACATCTTTCATTATGGACGAGTCGTCAATGCAAAATGTGCTTTGTAACATTAAATTCGGAAATCGAAATGATTTATTTGTTATTTTATTTCTTTCTTTTTTCCTTCAATTATTTTCTGTTCGTATTTCAAGAAATGATAAAAACGTAGTTCAACTTATAACAATTTATTTGATTTTTAATCAATAATGCAGATTTTTTTCATCTCAGCCAAGTTCCTAAAATATATTAAAAATGAATCAGTTACATATTTATTTGAACATATATAAGATACAATATTTATCTCAAACAAAGATCTAGAAATATCCATGATCCAAATTAAAAACATAATACTAATATTTAAGAATTATTAAACACAGACCTACATTGTTATTCAAAGAATGATGCGAATTATCTTGTTAAATACATATATGTTTGAAGTATCTCGCTATTTGTTATGTTCTTTGTCGGATTTACAAGTAAAATACTATATACATATAAACTTACAATTCCCCGGCATATGCTGCAGTGCTTGCAGATATTACACAGGTTCATCTCTTTCAGCTTACCAGACCTATAACTTGAGATCCCATAATTCACTGCAGCATGAATAGAACAAATAAAAATTAAGTATCAAAAGATTTTATGTAAAATTTGCATGCCGTCAATTCAATTTCTAGTACCAGATTTTCTTATCCATTTTTTTTGTCCTTGTCCTTATCCATTTCTTTGTCCTTTTCCAGTACTTTTACAAATACACAACTTTCACTCTCGATTATTTTCATTAATGGACATATTGAATCCGCAAAATACTAGTGGTAATTTTAGTGAAAATTAGTATGAATACTATTAGTTACACAGTCAGTTAGTGACCTAATACGGATTCATACAGTGTGTGAAATGAAAATCCGTATTGGGCGAGGGGAAGCGGGATAAATATTAATACAAGAGGTCCATGGGCCACATCGCTCACCTGAGAAACTTTGGCCATGCTTTTCTTATACAGATATCCCCTTTTTAAAATACCTTTTGTGACTATGCCCTACCCCCAGGGGTCATGATTTGAAAAATTTAGAATCTACACTACCCTTGGATGCTTCCACATAACTTTCAGATTTTCTGGCCCAGTGGTTCTTGAGAAAAAATTTTAAAAGTTTTTCTCTATATATTTCTTTGTAAAACTTGGATTCCCTATTGTGACCCCGCCCTACCCCCGGGAGTCATGATTTTAACAATTTAATATTTTCACTACCCAAGGATACTTTCATAGAAGTTTCAGTTTTCCTTGCCCAGTAGTTCTTGAGAAGAAGATTTTTAAAGTTTATTTCTATACATTTCTATGTAACACTTGGATTCCCTATTGTGGCCCCGCCCTACCCCTGGGGGGTCATAATTTGAACAATTTAGAATCTACACTACCCCAGGATGCTTCCACATAAGTTTCAGCTTTTCTGACTTAGTGGTTTTTAAATGTTTTTTTCCTATATATTTCTATGTAAAATTTGGATTCCCTATTGTGACCCCGCCCTACCCCCGAGGGTCATGATTTAAACAAATTATAATCTACACTACCCTAGGATGCTTCCACATAAGTTTCAGCTTTTCTGGCCTAGTACATGTATGATGTAGTTCTTGAGAAGATTTTTTAATGACCCCACCCTCTTTTTGTATTTTCTTGAATATCTCCCCTTGGATGGAACTTGGGTCTTGATTTTAACAATTTCGATTCCCCTTAACCCAGGAATGCATTGTACCAAGCATGCTTAAAATTATCCCAGTGGTAAATGACAAGAAGTTGAAAATGTGAAAAGTTTACAGACGGACGGACGGACAGACAGACAGACAGCTAGATTGACAAGGGATGATCAGAAAAGCTCATTTGACCTTTCAGCTCAGGTGAGCTAAAAAACGACAGCTGCCTATTGTACATTGTAAATCAGGTGAATTTTAGAAGAATTACACTGAACGAAAAGAAGCTAGTTGTATAATTTTGCACTGTCTTCAATTTCTTTGCTCTTTAACACTGTTTAAGACTTTAAGCTAAATTATTGTGTACAAGACCGAGATAGATATTGCTCATGATCAGTAATCACATTGCATTGCAAATATCCCCTAGGCAAGTATAATTTTCTCTATCTTCAGATTTAAAATAATATTTAGATAAAAATCATTACTACCTGGTTCATAATAATCATACACTGTAATAGGAATCGCTTGTGACTCTGTTACTTTGTCCACTCTGCTAGCTGTTACGTCAAAACACACTTTGCTACCGCGAAGCTTTAAAAAAATAATGTTCACCTTATAGTGAAGTACCTTCAAAATGTCTGATATACATTTAATAGTAGGAGGAAAGGTTCATGTAAGGAAATTTAAATATATATTTTACATTTTTGAAATAGAGCACCACAGCATCAGAGCTTGTCTCTTTGTGTTCGAGACCCCGGGCATTGGTTTTAGTTAGGTCTCCAAGAAACCCACAAGGAACTCCAACCTCTGCAACTACCATGCCATTATCCTTATTGTCCTTCCTCCTGATATTTTATTTTGTAAAATAAAGAAAGAAATGAATGCTTAATCTTTTTTTAAAAAAAATAGATCTTTATCTTTAAAAATAATTATCGTGTACACGAAAGGTAAAAATCTAAAGTCATCACAATCAATATAAGTATTTAGTCTATAGGTGAGGTCAGTATTTCTTCGGATGATTTACAAACACTGTCGTTTTCAATGAAACAAATAAACATGTAATACATTAAAAATATGGGGTAAAAAATGGTTTTTATAATTTTTACAAAAAAAATGAGAAAAACATACAGCTTAATACTTTAACTTAAAGGAGTTAAATGCAAGTTAACAGTTATCATGTTGTAAATTTGCATTTACTTCCACATAGTAAGTTCAAAGCTTACTTGATATTACCTTACACAGACATTTACGGTTATCTTATCGAAGGTTTGCTTTAAAGGGTTGATACTTGTTGTAATATTGAATGCTGAGTCTTCGCTTTTCATCACATTATATTTTACCACTGTCTGAAAGTTACCAATTATGCGAAATTAATATTGATTATTGCTTTTATGAACAAAAACTAATAAGCTACTTTTATGCTACTTCTGTACGTACATCTACCAAAACTAATCCTCTGCCCTGTGTCTTTATTTCCACATTACTTGTGCCTTTGCCCAGCTGAAAATAATTATGTTGAAATATAACTTTTTGATAAGGAATTTGATGTACTCGAAATTTTAGAAGATAAAACTTTCTATTTAAAATCAATTTTTGAAAATGATTTCCTTTTCTAAAAAAAATAAAACAATAAATTCTTGGGAAATAACGCTTCCTTCAAACAGTATCAATTTTAATGAAAAAAAAAGAGTGATTACAAAGTGGACAAGTCTTTGTAAGGTCTCTCCATCAAAGTTACGGGAAAAAATATTATGAGAGTTGGAGCTTGGTATTTTTGGAGATATTTACGAAATCATTAGTAAGAGTAATATCGATACTAATTTTTTTTTCTCATTAAATTGTCAATTTCCAGCTTAGTTTGCCAATGGACTTTCAGTAAGGCGAGGCATTCTCGACGTTACATAATTACATGTATCTTCTGAAATTTACACGGCTTTCCTTCGCTGTTGAAATATACATAGGACAGAAATTCAGATAAATGCATGCCAATTAGTGTATCGAATAACCTGAAAAGAGGTGGAGCTTAAGTCGTCTCATCGTTGTCAACAACAATTTAAAGTTCCTGATGTTATTAGGTTCTTAACAAATAAGAATCTATTAGCGATTTGTGTAGCACAGAGAAGGCCACGCATTACTGAAAGTCCAAACTAAGCTGGAAATGGTCTAAGTGCCGAATTTAGGTAATTTTAGACTCTTTACCAAAAAGTGATGGCGTCTCTATATGAGTGAAAAATTCTCGAGAGGGACGTTAAACGATACAAACAAAAAATCATTGAGGTTTATATTGGAGAGTATTGACCTATTATAAACATCATTTCTAGTACCATAAATTATTTATCAAATATATTATAGATGATAGATATTGATATCGCGAAGCCTATTCGAACAAATTTAAAAATTCGGATCATACTTCCAAAGAAAACAATCTTGAAGTTACCTCCATTCGCTGAATTAGCTGTTTATTTTGTTGTGTGACATGAACAGTTTTTGTTGTTGAGCCACTTTTCACGCTCACTCGTGCGTCCAAAGTTGATTGTTGCAACATGCTGGAAAATCTCGAGAGTGCATGAAGTGATACAACTGTGTCCTAAAACAGTTTATTTGTAATCATGAAATGAACAGTCATTCCTTTTAAACAAAACATGTACCAACAGGTATTTTGTTGTTTTCATTATGAAATAATAAAAAATCTCGTGCTTTTTGATAATCCGGGAGAAAGTCGTATTGAATCGTGAATTTACTAAAAAAAAAAACCCTGTCAATATGGGCTGGAAATGTAAGACAATCAATGCTGCATGTGAAAATAAGAGGCTAATTTTGTAATTTCCACGTGTAAATCGTGCCCATCTTAAGGAAGGTTTTAAAATTTACAGTCATATACATACATGTGATAATTTCTAGACCCAAATACTGTACAGCAGCCTTCAAAATACTGGAATTTGGGCGAAAATACTGTACATTGCTAATTAAAAAACTGTACAAAAATGGTACAGAATATCGACCAAAAAATTAATATAAGGCATTCATTTTTTAATAATAAATTTCAAATCAATGTACATATGCACCACTGCATAACATGTATTATGATTTATCATCATTTCAAGAAACTCTTGAAGATTTTTGAATTTCGGCAATAAACTATGCTAGGCATAATGCTGCACTAATTAAAAATAAGGTATTTAAAGCGAGTGCAGCGAGCGTCACGAAGCGACGCTCGTAACTGTGAGCTTTAACGACAACGCCTGGGCGAAGAGAAAATTCGGACTACTGCACATTCATTTTTTAAAATTTTTTGCCGCAGTAATTTTGACCCACAATGCATCACTTAGCAAAGTTGCGTTCTCGTGAGAATGACGGCAAATGTTCAACAAAAAGTTTACTCGCCTTGATTAAATGGATACATGTAGAAGATAAATTGTAAACGTTTTTCATTAACTTTCAGCACTGTTCAGTTTTTTCTTGGTATTTGTAACTTACAAACGACGTCATGTGACGTCAGAGTCTAGACGCACTAAATGTCACGTGCGGTTTGACGAGCCCGATCTAAATTAAAACAATAGAAGAGTTTGCGCTCGCTCTAACGGTCGTACCGTCAACAAATTAAAAACTGTTTAATTAATGAGTCTGGTCGTCTCCATTCAGTTGCATTCAGTAAATTGTACTAAAAAGCATTTTCTCTTAATCTGTATTCGAATAAACAATATGTTTGCCTCATGGAATAAATTTCGTTTTGCTATCACAAAGTGTGTCCGATCCTTGTGAATGGCGTTTTCTCTTTGAACTGTCATTATTTTTAACAAATTACAGTTTAAAGGTCCTATTAAAAAGCAATCATCCAAACAAAACGCTTTGATATCTATTAATTACGGTGTAATTATCACGGGAATATTTCACACCTTCGTTCATGATGTTTTGTTTAATTAATCAAGCGCAGTAAGTCACGCATAGTTCGAGATTTCCGATGTTGCGCAAGCGGGAATAAAAGAAAAATGGCGGTTTCCGGTAAACATTTCAAAATACGGTACACATTTTCATTTCCCGTGAATTTTGGTGTACCGCCGTGAGCCCGTGAATGGGGTCGAAAATACGTGACATTCTGTGTACCGCCGGTACATATCACATGTATGCATATATGTTTTGCACCATATAAAATATGTATGTCTATGTATAGCTATTCAAATTATATTCGTTAGGGTTTAAGCTTTCCACTCTTGTACAAAAGGTAAAAGTCATGTTCTTCAGAGACTTTTGATATTTGCTTAAATATTTGATCTTTGGTGGACGCTAAGAAGTACGGAAGCACAACAGGGTTGTAACATTTGGGCTGTTTAAAATTAAAACTACGTTTAACGTCACCCGCGCGCGTAGGTTTATGAGAAATTCGTCTTTGAAAAAAACAAACAATTCGGAATTCCGTATGTCTGTTCCGGTTTGGTTCTACAATTAGCGACTGAAATCTGCTTCCCGTAGTGACAGAAAATGTGCTTTGATAAAGGCAGTTGGTTTCTTATTAGGTTACAGACTACTAATTTTACCCCTATTTCATTGACCACTCAAGTAGTTCCAGTTTAAAAATAGAGGTTTTTTCTTAAAAATTCTATGGGGTGTTTATGAAGTAGAATGGGGTTATTTTTGGGCATAAATGGAAAGGAGAGGGTCTGAAAAAAATTATAAAAATGATAATAATGGGAAATTTTGCTTTTTAGTGCGTAGTAGGAAGGGTGTAAAGAGGCCCATATTTACCCTTTCCTCGAAGAGAAAGTGAAAAAAGCAGGGTAGGGGTTATTTGCCAGGCCATAAAAAAACTTGCAGACTATGAATGTTCCTGAGAACTTGGTAAATTTTTAGACTTGAAATGGTCTTACTCTGTGCCAAGTTTCAGGTAAGTTGAGCCGGTGTAATTTTTAAAAATATTTTTTATGTTATAAAGGAATGTGTAGCAAAATAATTGGTAGTCTGTGTCCATTAAAGAAAACTAGTGAATTAAAGAGTTTGGGACCATAAATGTGTAAGTAAAAATAAGATGATTTAATGATTGAAGGTAATGACAAAGTCTAGTTTGTTGATTTTTTTGTCAGTCTTCGAATCACATGTTCAAACTGACAGTGACAGACTCTCAGTTCGTGATTTTATTGGCTGAACCTTTCATTGTATTTTGGAGAGAATCGAAAAAACTTTTTTACTGAGTGGAAAGTGTGTCAAAAACCAAGATTTATATACAGTGAAAATCATTCTAATCTTATTTAATATGTTTCATATTAAAAATATTTCTGTAAAAATGGAAAGGAACAGTAATGAGTAAAGTAATTTATTTCTTCATAATTCATGTACCTACAAATAGCTACAATTTTTGGAAAAGATAATACTTGTCATAACCATTTGAGGAGGGAGAAGCTTACTGAAGATAGGGCCTTTCAAGTGAAGGAGAGTAAGGAAAGAATTTGGGATATCCCAAGACGTGAAGAATCCTCTCTTTAGTGAGGAATTCAAGGTATTAAAGATAATCTAACAGCTATCAGTATGGTTCAGATATTAGTATTCACACTTTCAAAACTTAATGCTAGTAAATCTAGTACTAAGAAAAAATACGACATAATTCAATTTGAGATATTTCAACATGAACAGATTTAAATATTGTCATCAATAATTTTAATTGTAGATATTAATCAACTATTCCCACAAGAAGAAGCATTTGCCTCCAGGGTACCATGGAGGTGTGGCATTAGAAATCCAAAGGACAACCGAGGCCTAGTTAAAAGCCACTTTCCTGCACATTCAGTCTTAGACTACATTGTTTGCTAACAATAGGACTCAAACTGATTTACATAATAAGGAAAAACTCTGCTAGGGAAATTAATCTTAGGTGTCATATCAATTAAATGCTCTTATTACATAATTGTAATGTTTTTAATGTAATGAATAGGTTAATTTGAATAAAGTCACAATTGTTTGAAAATTTTGTTTGTTTATTTTTTTCCTCCCTCCCTCGTAGGTTTTGAATTTAAGATGTGACGTTAAACGTAGAATTAACTTTGAACAGCCTTGTTGAAAGTCATGATTATTTACAAGTATACATTGACATGTAAATATAATATGGATTAACCATTAAGTAATTTAATAGAATATTAACAACAAATCAATACAAATCAACTTAGTGCAAATGTTAATATATGGTATCCTTGGACTTTCAGTAAAGCATGATTCATTGGCATCGGAAGCAAATTGGAAGTTGGGGAGGGTTAAGTTAAAGAGAAAAAAAATTCAACCTGAAAAATAAAAAAAACTGACAAGCAAATAAAAAAGGGGGAATATTTGACCATTGTCCAAACCTGAAAATCCTAAGGGGGGTGTACATGTAGGTTCGAACTTTTTTCTGTACCAATTTTTTTTTCCAAACACTACCACTTACATGTACCTTTTTTTGACCACACTGCAGCGTGCCTGCCTGTTAAAAGATGGGGGAGGGGCTAAACCTACGCCCCAATCTTCAATACCTATATTATGTCTATCTTTGCCAAAAAATGGGGGGGGGGGTTCATTCATTGGTTGCCTTAAGTTAGGGAATTCATATTCATAAGAAAATATCAAGCATATACTGATAAACGTCACAACACATGTCACCTTGAATTATTATAACCCCCGCTTGAAAAGCGGGAGGGTATATAGTAATCGTTAATTCCGTCCGTCCGTCTAGCTGTCCGTCCGTCCGTCTGTTACGCTTTGGGGTACCCATCTCTTATCCGCAACTCCTCTCATACCACTGAATGAAATTTAATGCAACTTTCACAGAATCTTTATTACATATTGCCATTGTGCACCTCTTATTTTACTTTTTGATCCGACACAAATTTTGGGTTTCCCGGCCACAGGAAAACATGGACTTTTTCACCAGTTATAACCATATGGGAGGCAGGGGGTATCATTTAGTGAGCTCATCGCTCACAGTACCTCTAGTTTTTCATAACTATACAGAAAAGGGAAAAAAATGCGACATTGTTGAAACTACTGCTTCAACGTGTTGTTATGGTTTAAGGAAGTATGCCCTAAGCATTCGTATTGTAATGACATAAATTCTTAGTTACTAGTATTATACCCCCCGGTTGAAAAGCGGGAGGGTATATAGTAATCGTTAATTCCGTCCGTCCGTCTGTACGTCTGTTGTCCGTCCGTCCGTCTGTTACGCTTTGGGGTACCCATCTCTTATCCGCAACTCCTCTCATACCACTAAATGAAATTTGATGAAACTTTCACAGAATCTTTATTACATATTGCCATTGTGCACCTCCTATTTTACTTTTTGTTCTGACTCATATTTTGGGTTTCCCGGCTACAGCAAAACATGGACTTTGCCATTATAACTACATAGAGGCGGGGGTATCATTTAGTGAGCTCATCGCTCACATTACCTCTAGTTATACCCGGTGGTAATGAATAGTTCCTCGTTTGAAGGCACTTGCGCTGGAAACCTGGTTTGTATCCTGATAAATTTTAATAGGGCATCAGATACTTTCCAAAACATAGGTTACATAAAAGAATACAGACCAGGTTGCATTAAAAAGGGTGACTGCTTAAAAATTTCCCCCCAAAATTAAACAAATAAATAAAAACTGCCAAAAGTATTGATTGTTTGATGTCTAAGTCGAGTCGGTAAAATTTCAACTGTATTTTGGCGGATGGATATTGCTAAGGTATGCTTTTATTTTGAAAGAAGTTCCACTAACGCTGTATGAAATACTTTGAAATTAACATTTTATCATTAAATTCCTTGTAATTGTATTTTTTATTGAGTTAATAAGAGGGGTTATTTTAACCTATAAGCGATGATCTACATTGTACCGTTTTTGAATGCCTTCCTATTAGAAAAGTCAGAATTGAAGGTCATCGATTATTTCAATTAAAATGGCTGTGATTTAAAATGTTTTGAAACTCGATATAGATCTAGAAATCTATAGTCACACAACCTACCTACACTGTATTTGTTCCTAGTAGTCCCTAACCCATCTACCGTCTTTCGCCGTCGAAAATTGGACGTTTCCAATTTAACTTGTACAGAGATTGTCATATTTTGAGTGCAATTATGGTATAGGATCAAATCATTTTTTCGGGCTGATGAATTTACGAAGGAAGAGAATTTAAAATTTATACTGTAAGATTTTTTTCATTCACGTGTAAAATATACAGAAGAATTAATATTTATCTATTAGAAGATCCTACAAACTCTGACGGGTGTAACAAGGAACCAATGAGGGCGCTTCTTACTGTAAGAAGGAAGGGCTAAATGTCAATCAACCAGGTGATTTGAGAAACTATTATAGGTCACCAGACAGACTACGTGTCGAGATCGTCATGCCGTACGAAAAGTCCAAAGTGATGGACACACCATCACTAAATCAGTAGAATGTCTTCCGTTTGAAAAAGGTACAGGTAAATTGTATTGACAGTGTATCTGTTTTATCTCTGAGTCTGACCAAACTGGTCATGCACCAGACAGACTACGTGTCGAGATCGTCATGCCGTACGAAAAGTCCAAAGTGATGGACACCCCATCACTAAATCAGTAGAATGTCTTCCGTTGGAAAAAGGTACAGGTAAATTATATTGATAGTGTATCTGTTTTATCTCTGAGTCTGACCAAACTTTTCGTTAAAGTTGACGAGTGAGAGCGCATAATATATATTAATCAACAAAATACGTACACCGATGAATTACAGAAATTATTGTAATCTGTGACGTTAACTCTCGACACATGAAATACCTGTGTTGAAGTAAACCCTCCTTCAGGGTTTCTTTGGGAAACAAGCCACTTAAGTATTTTCATTCCTTCTGTAACATCCCTTCTCTCAGTAAGATACAATAGAGCATATGCAGACGTTTCGATGTCAATTGGTCTTGCTCTAGGGTTTGGAGAATGCCAACTAAGTTTCTGTTTGTACATCTTGTTTCCATTGTCTTGCCAAAACAGATACCCGCCTGAACAAATAATTATATGACGTTCTTAGTTTCTTCAAATTGAATTAAAACATATATTTTTTAACAGAATGTACATGTACTTTAATAATAAATATATGATGTAACGTATATTAATTACAATTAACAATATTGAAATTTAGTGTAATAATATCCTATGCATAATAAATCAATGACCTGATGTTTTTGATCTTCTCTTTAAGGTAGAGTACAACTGTCTCGCTTTTCTGCTGTATCCGGCCTTTTGTAGAACATAGCTCGTGATAGCCATTGCATGATTACTGTTTTGTAAATCTCGGATAACGCTGGACCTGGTTAAGTATTGCACTGCCTTTCTTTCTGCAATCCCTATTTTTTGCTGTATATTTATGAAAAATTAAATTTCATTAAAAAAATCCTTATACATAAATATGTTGCAGCATCCAGTAAATGTTTCAACTAGCCCCTATCCTTACTCCCTACAAAAACACAATCTACTGGGAAGGAGATACTTAACATGCATTCTCTGTAAGCACCAAAAAATTTACTATAGGGCTTGGAAACGACATATCTCCGATTTTGATGAAATTTGCACCACAGGTGCACCTTGGTACAAAACCAGTATATATGGTGTTAGAAGTTTCCCACGTGCACCCGGTTGCCATGGAGACGGATCCATTGAATTTGGCCATTTTCGGCCATTTCTAACCAAACAAAAACATGATAATTGAGGAAATACGAATGCATTTTTATCTTTATGTAATGAACTCAAATATAAATCTTTGTATCATAAGAAAACATCAACTGTTAAAGAATACAGGGCATATAACCAGTTATTCCAGAATTGACTCCACTCCTAGAAAACGGTTCTGCAAAATAGCATAGTTTTTCAAAATGTGAAAAATGGAAAATTTGGCATTTTTTGAGAAATTTAAGGTTAAATAAAAAAAATTGTCTACGGAAATTTTTCAAATCATATGCGTGTCGTCAAACGTCAGTATTTGTAGTGTCCCCTCATGAAAAAATTGGAGTGGGATCTCAATGCTATTTTTAGTAACATGTATCTTAAAATAGACATATTTCAGAAAAATCTAAAAAATGAAATTTGGGCAGAGTTGAAGATGCCATTGCTAGGTAATAATGAAATATACTGTAAAAGTCAATATGCTAATGTCAGAGACTGGACACCAATAACTACCATGCATATTTTTTTCAGGGATTTCCGTTTTCTATTTATAGATTCAAATGCCTAAATATAGACATGTCTCATAAAATGATGAAAATGTCAATTTTCCATCATTTTGAAGCTCCACTGAATCATAAATAATGAAAATATGAATCTCTCCAATATTTCATCAATAAGAACAAGGAATAGTATAATATCTCACAAATTTTTGAGGACAGGCTCTCATCTCTATAAATAGTACAAATGTCTAAAAATAGACACATATGAAATTAACGGTTTAATGTTGATTTTCCACTAATTCTCAAATTAGAGATGGGAAATTTACCAACTTACTGTCATTAACTGTAACTGATATTATGTGACTGACAAGAACAAAAGAACATTCAATGGAATGCAGCATGATAAGCAGAGGTTTCCATTTCTATTTATAGTAACACATGTTTAAAAATAGATGTAATGCAAAATATCGGGAAAAGCCGTTTTTGTACTTTTTTCTAAAATTTTGGATGAATAATTGCTGAATATCTGTTTTTAAGTGCTATTGGCATATGGTGACCAACAAGTAAAAGAAAGCCTTATATCAAATACAAAATTAGAAGCAGTGGTTTCCATTTCTATTTATAGTAACACATGTTTAGAAATAGACGTACTGCAAAACATCAGAAAAATGTAGTTTTTTGTACTTTCTTCTCACATTTTGGATGAACAATTGCAGACTATATAAAATTCATTTCGTTGTTTACTTGCTAAAAATACTCATAGATCACGTGACTAGGTAACTATAAATACATTGGGTCATACGCATTCTTTATCGACTCTCGCTATAACCTCGATTCACGTATATTCACGCCAAATAATGAAATTTCACGAAAAAGATTTATTGTCTGTCGAAATACTGATTTATGCATGTTTAGTTGACTGAAGAATATGTGTAAATAAAGATCATAAATTTGATTGACAATTGATTAAAGGTTATAGCGAGTAGCACTCCTAAAATGGTCTTTCTTGTTATTACTTAGAATAGAATTAATTTATATTCGGACGAACAAAGTGAGGGAGAATATAAATATGTTTTAACTGCTACTGGCATATGGTGACCAACAAGTAAAAGAAAGCATATACAGAATGAGAAACAGAGGTTTCCATTTCTATTTATAGTAACTCATGTTTAAAAATAGACGTACTGCAAAATATCGGGAAAATGTTGTTTTTTGTACTTTTTTCTAAATTTTGGATGAATAATTGCTGACTGTTTTTTTTTAACTGCTATTGGCATATAGTGACCAACAAGTAAACGAAAGCATATACGAAATACAGAATGAGAAGCAGAGGTTTCCATTTCTATTTATAGTAACATGAGTTTAAAAATAGGCATACTGTAAACTATCGGAAAATGTAGTTTTTTGTACTTTTTTTCTTACATTTTGGATGAGCAATTGCAGACAATATGTTTTTTACTGCTATTGGCATTCAGTGACCAACAAGTAAAAGAAAGCATATATGAAATACAGAATGAGAAGCAGAGGTTTCCATTTCTATTTATAGTAACACATGTTTGAAAATAGACATGCTGCAAATTCTAGAGAAAATGTAGACTTCCGCACTTTTTTCTAACATCAGGGATGGTCAAAGTGCAGACAAATGGCTTTTATTTGTTATTGACAGAATGTGACTAATGTTTAAGGGTATTTTTACATTTCTGCCTACAGTAACACATATTTATAAATAATCAGGAAAATAAAGAATCTTTCGTTTTTCGCAAATTAGGGATATGAAATTTGCAGACAAACTTTCATTAGCTGTAACTGACATGGCTAATTGTATTCGGCGCTCCATCGTGTCCACCTCAATCCAGTACATGTATCATAAAAGTATGTTCTCCCTGCATTAAAACATTAAAACACTAAATTCAATCGGGCTCGACAGCCCGAGCCCGATTGGATTTTTTTGTTAGGTGGATCCAGAAAATTTTCCCTAGGAGGCGTTGGCACAAATCACTATGTCAGTTTAAACTAGAACTGTCCAAACGGGACTAAGTACCCCCGCTTGGTTTTTCAGAGTTGCTAAATCATGAATATTTAATGGATCTAAAAGAAGAGAGAAATGCTAAAACATTTTTAATGCAAATGTAATTGCTCATAATATTTACATAAATGAAATGAAAGCGCATCCTAATAAAAAAAAAAACCCAGACTAAATATATGGACCAGACACAAATTATGAACTTTTTCTATCAGTGACCTTGACCTTGCATTAATGACCTTGGATCAAAGTCATGACAGAAAATCAGGTAATAATCAATGTTTGAGTGAAGTAGTAGATTCAGGTTTAGCCATAAAAAAGATATGGACCAGACACAAATAACAAAAATTCTCTTCAAGTGACCTTGAACTTCCCCAAATGACCTTGTGTCAAGGTCATGACACACTCTTAGGTCATGAGCAATCTTTGTGTGAAATGAGAACCTACCAAGTTCATCCATAAGAAAGATATGGAGCGGACACGAATTATGAAATTTTTCTTCAAAGACCTTGAACTTCCCAAAATGACCTTGGTTCAAGGTCATGACACACCCTTAAGTCATGGGCAGTCTTTGTGTGAAATGAGAACATACCAAGTTATCCATAAGAAAGATATGGACTGGACAGGAATTATGAAATTTTTTTAGTGACCTTGAACTTTCCTAAATGACCTTGGGTCGAGGTCATGACACAATCTTAGGTCATGGGAAATCTTTGTGTGAAATAAAGAACATGCCAAGTTTATCTGTAAGAAAGATGTGGACCGGACACGAATTAAATTTTTTTCAATGACCTTTAACTTCCCCAAATGTCCTTGGACTGAGGTCATGACACACTCTTAGGTCATGGGCAATCTTTGTGTGGATTGAGAACCTACCAAGTTTATCCATAAGAAAGATATGGACCGAACACGAATTATGAAATTTTTCTTCCAGTGACCACGAATTTTTCCAAATGACCTTGGGTCAAGATCATGACACACTCTTACGACATGGGCAATCTTTGTGTGAAATAGGAACCTGCCAAGTTTATCCATAAGAAAGAGCTGGACCGGACACGAATTATGAAAATTTTCTTCCAGTGACCTTGAAGTTCCCCATATGACCTTGGGTCAAGGTCATGACACACCCTTAGTTCATGGGCAATCTTTGTGTGGAGGAGTAAATTCTATTGTTCCTCATTAAGGAAGATATGGACCGGACACTTTTGCACAGACAGATGGACAGATGGACAGTTAGACAGACGGACAAACTTCGTTTGGGAGGATATAATAAAGTTGAATCTTCCAGGGATCGAGATCCCCTTTGATCCATGCATGCCTTACCACAATTTGTTCAAAAGTAATCCGAAATTTGCCCAAATTTTTTGAGTTGGCTTACTTTCGATTTCTCTCTCTCTCTATACATGCATGTATATATTTCTCTAGACTTTAACTAAAGCATTTTAAAAATATTTGTTGTTTTGGTTTTTATAAATTTATTTTACGTATAAACATACATGTAGGTGTTGGAACCGGGGGGGTGGGGGGGTGTTCAAAGAGAGACATCATATAGGTAATAAACATTGGGGAGTAGATTTACCCCCCCCTTTCAGCAGGCATGTTGCAGTGTAGTCGAATAAGGGTAAGTGGTAGTGTTTGAAAGAAAAAGAAGTTCAATCCCCCTCCCATGAAATAGGATTTCATGTTTGAACCCCCCTCTTCACTTTTAATTTGCTTCCGACACGAATGTAACAAATTAAAAATTCACCAGTATTTTGTTATGACATTAGAGTTTTATCTCCTTTTTAAAGACTTGATTTCATGTCAATAAGCTGTCATACATTGGTATCAGGGTTTGAAAAAGATTCCTTGTTACGTTTTAAAATGTTAATACTACTAAAAATTAACTTGTCTTTATGAGAGGATGGGGAGTAACTTTAGTCACAGAAATGGTTTTGCTTTTACATGTAATAGGCGTTTAAACAAACTAATATTGGTCAGAAATATAAATTATTAGCTTAGTGAAAAATCGAACAGAGGAAAGGTATTATTCCTTCATTCAAGGATACTTTGCGACAAGTTAAATTGAAATTAACCCAGTGGTTCTTGATAAAATGAAAATATAAAAAGTTTACAATGAGAACGACAACGACTGACAAGGGACACATGATCATTAAAGCTCACTTGAGCCT